CTTTAATTCAAGGATAATGATTACGACTTTTAACCATATTAACGATTCAAAAATTGATGTGACCAACACTCAGTCGGTACAATAGCTATCATTCTTGCCTGACGTCCATACAGGACGTAACAGAATAATTGTTCCTAAAAGAGATAATTCCTTAGGATGGCGCCAAGTCATGTGAGGTCTGTTCTTTTCAGCTAAAGTTCTTGCACGCAGCACGGTTCATTCTTCCTTTTCTGTTCACGTTGGAGAGAAAAAGAAAAAGGATGAAGTGCAAAGAATTCAGCTAAAAAGAACAGGTCTACCATAACACAACGTGGATTATTGGTTAGTTTTACAGAGTAAAACAGTTCGTCACATTTTTCAGAATTAAACAATTATTATTTCGTATAGTATTTTAAATTAACATGGTCACACGATTACATATTAATGATAAAGATTTAGCTGATCGAAACGAGTCTGAGTTACATTTTATGCCATGTAAAATTCATGGAGACGAAGCTGCGAATGTTTCCTCCTTCTTCAAGCCTTACATTCGTAAACTAGATGAAGAATGTGAGTTATTGAAAGTTAAAAAGAATTTCCTCAGTTTTGCATATTTATACAATCAATATTAAAAGTATAGGCAATATTAAAAGCAAATAAGTCTATAATATAAAACTAAAAGTAAAACTTTGTTGAATTTCTTTTTATACAATATATTATTCTGTGTTTATAACTTTTATAATTTACATGATATATACATTAAATGGGATAATTGAAATAATGAGCTAATTAGGAAAGAGAATTTAAAGAATTTATAATATTAATTTGCCATTTTTTATTATTTAAAGATTACGATTGTTCGTTTCGTGGCTATCCACTTCAAGGGAAAAAGATAATTGTACCTGCTGGATACAGAGGCATGATGTTTGTAGAGAATAAAAAGACAGATACAGAGAATAAGGAGAGGAATTTGTATTGTACAGGAACATTTTCACAGTTTATGTATTGGAATTATGATAAAATACCATCTAAGAATGATGCTTTTGTGGCAGCATTAGATTGGGTTGACATAGCTAAAGTGGTCAGTTTTTTATATCTATAAATTGTAATATGTTGTTAATGTATATTGTCCTAAATGTTCTAATAAATTTCTAATAATTTTTAGTTACACTCACCAGAGACATAGATGATACTGGAAGCAGATTATTTTAATAATTAAAGAAATATGTGTTTTTTGTCGGATATTACATTTTTATACTTTGATAGAAGAAAAAAATAATAAAAGCACGTTTTGTATAACAGATTTATTTTTACGGCATCATACTTGAGTGCTTATGCCACAAAGAATGACTTGCATATGATTAAGATGTATAAAGAGATAGTGACAGATAGTATTGTTATAGTCTAATTAGCAGCAACATTTGAAGAATATCCTATTTAAATATCTGTGGACTTGATTGTTTTATTTAATGTAATAATACAATTATATAAATGCATTCTGCTGATTTTTCTTGGGTGTGTAAATCTATTTTATGGAAGATATATATTTTATACGGCTTTATATATTTTATATTAAATGCATTTATATATTGTTGTCAAAATAGCTTACGACACCTATAATAAGGAAGGATATATCTGAGCATCCATACATGCTATCTTAGTTATACAAATGTGAAATTTCCAAAATACATTTTTCTCAGTACGCATTATGTGCATTGAATTATTGTTTAGATCAAAGAATCTGATTGATTTGCAATATCGTGTATTGTACGACGCAAGATGCTTATATAATCAATATTTAAACATACGCTAAAATGGAAAACATTTTCGTGTTGTGTAGAGTCGATGATAATGAATGAAAGTATCCTACATTCGTTTATAATCTCACGTTATTAGATATATGAAATAAATAAATAACGTATTAGAGAATCTTAATTTGAATTATCTTTATCATTATGTATACTGAGGTACGAGACTTTCACAATTAAAAAAAATCCTAGACGTATATATATGGAATTATAAAAATTCTTACGCATTCATTCATTTCCTATATCCTAAATTATTAAAGCCTTGATAACGAAATAATAAATATAATAAAATATTTCTGATTTTTCCCGACGCTTTACTATAGATATCACTAATAAAATAACTTTTCATAGGTTCTAGAGGACCTATTTACAGTAACATTACAGATTTCTAAGGAACTACGCTAGAAAATAGGTATACGCTGCATGTCATTTTGTTTTATTCATGCAAAAGCTCTCTAATGTTTACTGGTAAAGTTAAGGAAGTACATTGTCCTACATAGAGGGACGTTAGCCTTGTGTCGTTTTTCATATATTTAGCTAAACGTATACTTTATATATATTTAATTACTTCTTACATATGTATATATATATATATATAAATCAGACGGGTGAGTACCTGCCTGTTCGATCTTAAGATCTGTTAGACCAGGAAAACGAAGCCTTAAGCGAACTAGGAAGATTCCCGCCCAAATGGCAGATATAGGCAAGTTCGATTTGCCCGTTTTTATACCCATGTAAATTTTCTTCCAATGTAAATTAATTTTAATCTCGGTTCAACTTACTCTTTATCTTTCTTTAGTTCTAAAAATGAGAAAAAGATTACAAGTAAGTTGAACCGAGAATTAAAGTCAATTTACGTTGATGAAAATGGATATTAATCTCTTTAAGCTAAACATATATATGATCACATTAGCTATAATGTATTATATAGCTGCAATATATTTTATTCCCAAAGATCATTTTAAAGTAGATTTTCTTGTAATATTATGTGTGTGCGGTTCTATACGATTTATAGATATTGTGGGAAATTATACGGAATTATAAATATTTAAATAATTCACGATTTTTCTTACTATTGCACAATATTTGCACAATGCCATTTTTTCTTTTTTTTCCTTTGTACCCTGATGTGCATTTTCATATACAGAAAAACTGGATTTTCTAGAATGTGAGATATGTCCTGTTTAAAGTTCCCGAAATTGATCTAAAGACTAACGGAAACTAACGTTTGTGGCAGTGATCGCAATGCAAATCTTATAAAAGATTAGTTTATATAAAATGCAAAATACTGCAATATGTAAGTAAATTACATATTAATCTTTTTGGTATTGTTCGCGCTCATTTTTGTCTGTATAACTTTTAGTCCCAATTCAGTAGATTATCAAAAAACTATTATATAAGTGGCCCACTTGTGTATAATATAAATAAAGAAGATAAAATCGACAGTCTTACGCAGTTGACAAGTAAAAGAAAAAGAACTTATAAAAATCTCAAGTAAAACAATGCATTCGAACGCCGGTCGGTCCGTGATACACTGTAAAAATGCTTTCACTAAATTTGTACATTCATAAGAATAAGGGGAAATGAAGTTTCATACTATTTATACATGCTGAAACGTGCCTAACTCATTAACCTCTTGGTGAAATTTATTCTGGTCCTGTTGTTGTTTGATAAAAGCGCTGAGCCTGTTCAATAAAAATTGTTTATCATGACCTTCCAGTACCAATTGGTTTTTCAACACTGTCACCATGTGCTTGTTTGCCAACCACATCACATAATAGTAATACAGTAGCAAAGAGAGAATGACAAATGCCGGTATGCCGAAGGCAGCCGTACCTAGAAAGGATAGAGTTGATTGCAGCCAGTTAGGAAATTGCAAAAACGTCATGATCAAGAAAGACCACACTGTCTCCAATCCTCGGAACGGCCCGCACGATTTCGATGGCATGATCTTCGCGATGGAGTAGCCAACTGGTATCATCGCCAGAATAAAGGAAATCAACAGATTGAACATGAAGAGGCAATTCGACCTACTGGCACGATAAATCTTATTCGATGGTGTACTGTTCACTAGACAAGTAAATTTCTTAATGTAAAACAGCAAGAACGTTCCGATAACAGCAACCATAGGTAGTAACGGAGCGAAGAAGCAGCCGAGCCAGCAGATCGTTTGCGAGTAGAAGATATCCAGTACGTGCTTGGGCAAGTCAAATTCCTGCTCGCCGACAAAGCGCAAAACCTTGTTCTCAGTATGACGAGCAATCAGCGACCGTGGAAAATTGATGAAGAACGTCATGAAGAATTGAATGAAAATGTCGGTGCTGTAAAGCTTGATGAATTGCTGTCCTACGAATGTTTCCCAGCATAGTGGCTGTTCGTTCTTTTTATTGGAGCATTCATTGTCTGGAATTTTGTCCGCGACAAGCGCATGTAAAGACGTTAATAGAACTGCGAGGGAAGCGAATCTAAAGAACATAGTTCTGTATAGCGTCACTTCAACGACATACGATGGATTGTAATGCTCCAGGGCGACCAAATATCGAAAGAGAAATGGTACCGCTACGTTAAGTACAACGATACATATATATGGAAGGAATTCGAAGAACAGATTCAATATCTCGTAATCTTTCGCCAAATGTGCCGACATCTGAGTGAACGAAAAGTCAATTATGTAATAAACGAACAAGCCGCAGCCGGCCAATACCGTGAGAATTATTAGATTAACAAACAGACGCGTGAAGAACAGTTTCGTTTCCTCCTCCGGTGTGCGATTTCGCCGCTCCTCCTCCAACCTTTCCGATTCTAGAAGAGCTTTCATTTCATTGTACAACGCCTTGTGTTTTATGGAAGCTGACCTTTCATTGTTAATACAGTAATCCCAGCCGCCGAACACCAAATTACAGTACCGATAAAACTGGCCTTCACCTTCCACGATTCTCTCCCTGAAACTTTTGGCGGCCGATCGTACAATCGCTATCAGGCTAATAATGAAGATGGTAAGGATGGTGCAGATGTACGACAGCGGTGAATTGTAATGGAAATTGGTACCTATACTCTCATAGATCTTATGCGTATACGAACCGTAGAATAGAAGAGAGAAGATCTTAATTACATTGTTATTTTCATCGGTCTTATTTCTATATAACTCGGAACAACAGGCTACGCTGGCGGTGTTATTGGACGAGCATGTTTCGTTTTTCGGTACCTCCAACACTATCACTGGCAATACTATCAGCAAGTATATAATGGCGAATAAAAGCAGATTCAGATACATCAGCCATTTGATAAATAAAAAATAAGCTACTATGCCCATCCCAAAATTTCCGCCTATCTTCTTAAGACTGTCGTTCCATAACTCCATCTTGGAGTAAGCTTCTTTCATTCTAATGCGGAATTGCTGCCAAGCTTTCCTGCGCTGCCATTTCAGTTGCTCAAAGCCCTGAAGTCTTAGTTTTGTAGCACTCTGAAAAATATGAATTATTAATAATAAGGCTCTACAAGTATAAAGCAATTTATATAAAAAATAAAGGCAAAGAGCCAGTAATATCCGTTAGAGCCAGTAAGTTTCGTTAAAATTTACAATTCTTAGTCAGTAGTAGAAATGTTAAGCGTAAGTTGATAAAACGAGATGGTATCCAACTTTTTACACATAAGTGTGTTTCTTTAAATTCAAGCTAATTTGGAGGATTTTAAATTTTAACTAAACTTATACATACAACGATGGATACTCTATTTATCTTTTTACTTAATTGACGCAACATAATGATGAGTAGATATAGCAATAGATAACGAATTATAACGATTTGTATTTTATTATTTGTGTAACATTGAGAATGACCCAATCGAAACGTATGTCACTTTGTATTATTGTTTGTTAATTAAAGTAGTTATTATATTACTGGCTCTTTGCCCTTATCTTTTTATATAAATTTATGAATAATTAAGTTGCTACAAGTCACATTAGTATATCACTGATGCATAACACTTTCTGAAGTACCTGTAGTTGGTTCTTCAATTGTATTTTCTGAGACATGCATACAGGCATGGCTTTTATCTGCATAATCTCCTCCCAAGTGCGCTCCTCATTGGATAAGTTTTCCGATAGATCTGGTAGCATCGATACGGCCGCGTCGTGTATATTGGTTGACATACGCCTTGAAGTTGTGGTACCACGAGATCTAGTGCTCGTACGCCTCCTCAATGTGGTTTTCGTATCATTACGAATTCGTTTTGCCGTAGCTGTATCAAACAAAGAAGATATACATCTTACATTTAAAATTGTTTTAAGTATAATCTTCAGCACAGAGTCAAATTAATATTTTAAAATATTACTTGTAGAAATAAGAATAAAGTATAAATATCGAAACCCTGAGAAACTTGTGATATGTCTCTCAAAACAGAGTAAACCTACCAACGCGAGACTTTTTGCTAGGAAGTAAAGTTGCTATGTGTGAGGGATCTCTTTGTAGTGCTTGTTGTAGGTCTGCCTCCATGGCTGCTGGATAACTCTCTTGATAGAATTCTGCACCAGCCTCCTCCCATCCATGCCCTCGGTCGGCTCCTCTTTTCTTTCTCTCTCCACCAGACATTTTTACAATTTAATTTTTGTCTAATTTTATTCCAAAAGGTCAGTCACGTACAAAAATCACGATCCTAATTTAATTCGTGTAAATAATTTGTATGGCTTGATGCATAACGTTAATAATTAATTCATCAGCCCTTCAATCCAGTATCTCTCATTAAGCTTTTACATACTGTTTGGAAACAGCATATCAGATAATAATTATAGAGCGCGATAACTGTGGAAAAATAAGTTATTGATGCTTAAATTGACAATTTACAAAATAATAAAGAATATATAGATATACATATATATATATCTATACGTGTATAATATGTATATACATAGAGATATACATACGCATCCAAAATGAGTGCAAGATATCTCTTGCAATCGTGGATATGAAACTTCCGCCGATCGATACTGATAGAAATCCGAATAACAATTTATCTTTGGCCGTGACCCAGCTGGCACTGCACAGTTTTTCGACGCCGCGAAATATATATGTATGTAAATGTCACACGTCGTTGGGCCGGCCTTGCGAAACAACTCCTTGATTAACGTGACCGCCGGCACCGCGTTCGACGCTTCGACTCTGTCAAAATCGCGACGAACGAGAAGAAATCGCGAGGGCTCATCGATGCGAGCCCGCACGTTAGCATCCTGCTGTTTGTCTGATACGTGTCAAACCAACGTCAAACCAGCAGCAGCAGCGAAGCAGACGGCTATAACAAAGTCGTCGAGATCGAGACTATCGAGAAGGGAGAAGTCATCCAGAGTAGACATGCCCGCAGTGGTGGTCCCTGCGGTCGAGTTGCCACTACGAATGCTTTGAAGCGTTTGATTGACCAATCAAAAGAAAGAGTTATACAAACTGACCAATCAAGAAACGCTTCAAAGCGTTCGTAGTGGCAACTCGACCGCAGCCAAAGTCACTAAAATCTAGTGACTTTAGTGGTCCTTGTTCATCAGCGCCTCTATAAACATAAACGTCAACTAGATGTGTCCACGGGATACATCTCTGACGGGTAAACGACTGTAGCTATGTCCTTTGGTTCTGTTCTGTACTACGCCTTAATAATACGACGCCTATAAACACAGCTATTAAGTCCCTGACAAGAGGCAAGTCTACCTTGTAAGCATAAGCCACTCATACATACACATAGACATAGGTACGTATCAAACAGATTTTATATATAAAAATACGCACATGCTTTATATAATTTATTTTTACTTCTAAAATTAACAAACGATTCGTTATTTTGAATACACTGAACAACTGTTGCTGATATGAGAATTTTGAAAATGAAACTGAACTTAGAGTGAACTATAAATTACATTCTTTCGAAGAAATTAAAAATAAGAATAATTTGAGACTATTTCGAGGGGATTATGAAAAAAGAATATTTGGAAATGTAGAATAATAATATTACGTTCGAGTTAAATATTTTTGGAGCATGGCAAATATGAGATAAGTGTGGCAAAATCGTAACTCATTTTTATGTAATCTTCCCTTTTTCCGCTGGATAGAGCTCATCACGCGTGTATATTTAAGAAGTAATTTAAAATAATTTTTAGGAATTTTTGGTAAGATCTTTCTCCTTGTATTGCGATTCAAAGCTCGATATTAGTTTCTTATTGTAAGAGGTAGAATTTCTATCCCATCAAAGTTCAATCTGTACTTTCTGAGCTTGTACGCGCTTTTTATAAGTTATATATATATTCATATATCTAACACATAAATCTAACATATATATATTTATAATATAACATATATAATATCGGTGTTTACCTTGATCGTTTTAAATAGTCTCAAGATGTCAGAAGTTAATCATGGAATTTTATTGGCATCTTAAAACATTATTTAAGATGGTTTTAAAATAAGAACCTATGAATATTGGTAACTTATGAATATTGGTAAAAAAAAAAAGATCATCGATTGCAAACAGCGGAGGTGATGGAGGGTCTCTTAGAAATCCATAGATAAAAACTGTGAATATGGTACCTTACCTTTCGAAAATGTCCGTGGCTACATAATTATACGATCAATTTTCAATACGCTCGATCTCTGCGATTGGAAATGTCAAGAGAGAGAGAGAGAGAGAGAGAATTCTCAAAATAATAATTCTTGAAACTTTAAAATAATTCTTAGAATTTAAACAGTATCTTTTTTTCACGGTACCTTGGAATTTTGCTGTGTAATGAAAAAGTAATAAAGTTCTTTTATTTCATGGATGTACGTTTAATCTATTCGTCATAACGATACATAATTCGAAAATATATTCTTTGAAAAGCATATATGTGCGTTAGAAAACGGTAGCTCTACCATGAATAAAAATATGTATCTGTAAACTGCCTTCCTGATGAGGCGATGGCGAAATAATTACTTTCACCGGATGATAACCGACGCTAATTTAAAAAATATATATTTATATATCTCGCATACATCGCCGTTTGATTTGCTTTCTCTTCCTATAGCATGACTGCAATTATATTTCGTGCAAAAAGCAGACACTTGCATAGATAGACGATAGCGAACAGTACATCTCCGGCTTATCGATCAGTTCTACAGTATATCTTTTAGTGTTATCGACTTACTACGTAATTAGACTAGTTTGCACACTTGAGATTCCTTATTCATGAATTTTGTAATACAATACATATTTTGCTCGGATAAGGTATGAATAAACAAACAAAACGTTGGTAAAAATTTGACAGATCAGAAACGAGATTTCGATAAATGTCACTAAACTTATATCTTTTTAAATCTCGTCAAGATTTTTATGCCTCTAAGAACTCTTAGAGATTTTGTTCAATTTTTCCCTTTTTAACGATAGTTTTGTATAATTAACGATTGTAATTATTACTGAAATTTTCATTTAAAGTTCTATAAGCTTCGCTGTCCTCTTCGCAGAACTGCTAATAAGTCGGTGACGAATCCCATCGTGGATTTTTTTTTTCTTAACCGCAGTATCTCTCGGGACGATTATTGTCCGACCATGATCTCATATTCGGAGGCGGCAACCTCGGAACCGGCGTATGGTATATAACATACGCTGTGAGATGGTTGCACCTTGCCGATGGTCACGGTACCCTCGTGGTGTACACGGCCGACGAATAGTGGCTCGCCGTCTTCGGTCTCGCCTCCTGGAATCGCATTCGGCGGGACGCTACCGCCATTTACCGGCACCCATGTGGGTTTGCAGCCGCAAAGGACCTGCGCGCGGAAGTGCAATGGAACGTTTCGTAAATTAAAAATAATCGCATTTGATCGATTTTTTTATGTACTTTCGGGATTATCTCAGAATTTTACGAAATTTCTTTTACTCACCTGGTAATCGGATTTTCCGTGCTCGGCGCCGCCCCAGGCGACGTAGCAGACGGAGTGTCCGGGCTTCACCTTACCGGGGATGAGAGCACCCTCATGATGAGCTCTACCGACGAATAGAGGCTCTTCGTCGTGTCCACCCTCGACTGCGTCGGGTGGTACCATTCCGCCGGATGCGTCACACCAACACACGCTTCCCGCGTCGAGTCCACGGACTTCCAACGGCGCGGATGGCGTCGTGCTAGGATCTATAATATTATGTCCTTGTACTTGGTAACATGAAAGGAACGTTATGAAAGGACATTGTATTGGCACGATATAAAAAAAGGAAAAAAAGTGATGTAATGCAAGTCCCATATTCATCCTCATTCCGCAGTCAAGCCTTTTTACCATAATATGCGTGCAAAAGTGATTTTTTATTTCATGCGATTAGAATAGAGTGTGCGTTCGATCAAAAGGTGATCGAAAAAAATCAAGTGACACAGACTTAATAACGAAAAAGAATTGAGCGCTTCAAGCTATTTGATTTTGCGGGGAAGATTTTTCTAAAAGCCAGGTTTCAACATGTATGCGTGAGAGGTAAACACAGATTTAACGTCGCAATGAAGCGTAATAAAACATACATCGCTCGATGGTCCCGAGATCGCGTCAATGCCCTGCAGAGTTTATCAATCGCGATCAGCTGTATATGTATAGGTAGGAGGGGACGCCGATCTCGGAACCGCCGGGGACGTGTTCAGAGAAATCATTACATTTCTTTTGACCGGTAGCAACTGCGGGATAATGTTCGAAACGGAGCTTCCAGTTTCCGGTCGCGCCCCAACCGGTGCGCACCCCCACATAGCTCACGCCGATGGGGTTCGGGTCTCGCCATTCCATGAGGACGGCGCCGCCTGATCTGACCGTGATGAGGCCCTCGAGCCACGTGATCGAGAACCTCTTGTGCTCGCGATCGGTGAGAAGATTCGGCGTCTCCACGCGCACCTAGCGGGCCGCAAAATTTCCCACGTGTATAAGCAAAGACGCACATTGAGTACGCCTCGAAACGTTCTATTTAACGTTTAAATTAGTCTGAAACACGAATTTGCGAAATCGTTTCGAACCTTATCGGGCTGTTTGCGATCGTATCTAATAACCGACGCCTTGTTTTCCCACCCGCCGAGCATGATCTCGTACATGGGACTCGACTCGCCCTTCCGGTCGGTCAGTGCGATGTGCCCATTGCTCGTAGCTTTCACGTCGATCAGCACCGAGCCGCTTCGCACGGCATGAAAGTTGTACTGTAGTTTGTTAGGAGTGTTCAAAGGTTTGCGACCTTATCGAACGCAAAAAAAAAAAAAAGATTAAAAAACAATTATCAATTTAAAACTCTGAAAATTATTTATACAAAAAAAATACAAAGATAAATATTTATAATGAAGAAGAATATACATATCTTATCGTATTTTAATAAGATAATTCCGTTCACATATAAACACTGAATTGCTTTAATACGTTGCTCTCTGAATCAAAGGAATTTACATTGGAAATTTAATTATATGTACTTCCCATTAAGTTAATACGATTGATTGATTTTTCAATGACCAAAAGGTAGAAAGCAATTAAATAAATGAATCTTAAGTATCAATCGATGTATACGTGAACAATTGAACGGAAATCGATCACGGTGCCCCTGCGATTTATCATAGCCGAACGTGCTGTGCATATCGACGCAGTGAATTAATAAACACGCTGTTTTTTCTTGGATTCATTAAGAGCCACACACCGGGACAAGTCTCGGCGAAAAAAAAAAAACACGTTCTTAATCCAGCATCGATCACACGTGATGGGGACGGGTATAACGTGCTAGGAAAGCATCAAACGTACTCGGGCAGGAAAGCAAAATCTATGGGACGCCCACGTGCGACTACGTCACGCTCTTGCAACGATCTCGTGAATTTTCTTTTGCTCAATACATTACGTACAACCACCGTAACCGCCGCCGCAGCATATGGCTGTGCGAGTGCCGCGATGCCACAATCCAAAAGGATACCAAAAAGAGAATCATCAGTGAAAATCAGAAAGTGATTAATCTTATCTACTGAAATATAGAAAGTACAGGCATTGATCAATCTACTAGTCTAATTACGAGATTTGTTCTCTTTGTTATTTTTCTACCTGTTGTAACTGCGCGGATGTCTTGTATTGTTTTAATCTATAAAATATAAGGTGGAGATACGAGGGGAAAACTATTGACAATTACGAAAGGGAGATCTGGCAAGAAAAAGTGTATGAAGAGTTCTGACTTCTTACCTTCGATGAGCCATTCACCGGTTGCACCCCATCCGGTGCAAACGCCAAAGTAACCTATCCCGAATGGTTCTGGGTCAGCGTAGCTCAGGAAAGGATCTGACTCGCCTTCTTTGCCCACCGTAAGAACTCCATTATCCCACCTGAGGTAAAGTGAATTGAAGAATATAATAAGTGTGCAAAAGACCTCACTAATTATGTATATAGGGTTCTTTGGATTCTTACGACACAGACTTTATAGTGAATTAAAGCACAATATGTATTATCAAGCTTAATGACTCTCTTTAATTAATAAATCTGGCAACCAACAATGCAGCAACCTACCTAATCCAGAAGCCGCGATACTCATCCGCGCTCAGAATGCCGGGCGTTTCCGTTTCCGCCACGTCCGGCTTAGTTCTATTTTTGCGCACGACGGACTTGCTGTTGGTCCAACCTCCGATGAAGACCTGAAAAGAGAAACAGTCTTCAAATTTAACTCTCCGCGTTGTATTACGGATTTAATTACTATTATGGCAGTGCTTTTGTGCGGAGCCGCGTGGTACAAACCAAACTCCGATAGGATCTGCGGGGCTGGAAAGGATATCCGCCGCTACTCAGGCATTCTGGGTAATAAAAATCACGCACGCGGGAAGGTGTGAAATGAAATCTTACCTCGTACATCGGATCCCCTTCCTGGGGTCCCGTGGTGAGGGCGACGTGGGCATCGTTTGGCGCTTTTATCCGGAACTGAATTTGTCCAGCCGTCACAGGATAGAAATGGTACTCCAATTTGTCCTCGGTATTAAGCGCTAGAAAAAAGAATCGCGTGTAACTTTAAAAAGTTGTAAATCAGATAACTCGTTTCTCGGGGTATAAATCATCAACCGAGGTCGCAATCGACTGATTGCTTAATATATCATTACGGATATTTTCCTCGTCGCGGGGAAACGCGCGCGATGCCGAACATCCGAGACATCTCGACGCCAGACTGACCTGTTATAGCAGTTAGGCAGGCGGTCAAGAAAGTAGGACAATGCAGGATTCGATCAATATCGCTCGTTGATGGTGATAATCAGGCACGTGGCTTATGTTATACATCTCACAATTCGATTATAAATTTTAATGATAGGCCTCGGAAAGGTCATTCAGCGTAATCGGGCCACGCGCACACATGTAAAAACATCCGCGCCATACACTTTTAAAAGGTTCATAAAACGTAAAGAGCGTTATGAATCGCCGCAAGGACGATAGCTACTCATCTATAATCGTGTCGGTGTAAAAGAAAAAAGAAATACGTTTGCACAAAGCTGATTGCGCGGTCATAAAAATAGACATACCAATAATTTCGATACTGCACGCGAGGATTTTGAATCACTCTCCCCGCGTTCCCAAGTCGATCGAATTTTACGAGGCTATAATCCATGACGAAGCGATGTAATTTTCTGCTGAGATCTATTTGCTGTAAGACAACGTCCACATAAGGAGATTTTAAGGCGTAAGAATTTAATCAATCACGGTTGATTATTCTTGCATTCGTTGTGACTTGAGATTAAACTTTTTTTAAAATTTTACATATTAAAAAACTTGATAGCAGACACCATTTAAAGATTGAACACACCGCGCTATTCTAGTGAGATCATTTTTTATACTAAAGAATCCCGATTTGGTCTGGAATATGATTATCGCAACGGTTCTTCCTCTTCTGAATTCTTTGTTTCTCAATTTTGATCCGACACAGAATTAGAATCGAGCAACCTTTGAATGCTATTAGTACTATCATCATTAGTTTCTTCGCAAAGTTGACACTTGTGCGACAGTCGCGGCGCGACTGTCCATTAATTCCGAGGTCGCGCGAAATATACGAGATAGTGCAACGCGCGTGGAGCGCGTCTTTTTTTCTATATGTATTTTCCATTTATTTTCCCTATTCTGTTCGCTTTGAAAATCAAATAATGCGCGAGCGACGCGGCACCAACGTAACGATTATAAATAGTTGAGCGAGAGTATATGTCGCGGTCAGCTCGCAACGCTGACATCATACACGTATCGTAAATGAGGAAGGGGATCGCACGAGGTGGCTTGGCATGGACCTCGCCACGAGAAATTCAAATCCCTCTTAGGACACTCCGTTGCGGCGAATACACGATTTTAGTATCGGCGAATACACGGCATCGCCGATACTAAAATCGAGGCCGTCGCCGAGCGCACAGATCTAATGTCACTGTGCTGATGTCATTCTTATTTCGATGTCAATTACTTCACATTACGCGACGTCCGCGATCCAGAACAATCGTGCGCGACGACGGTCTTCTAATATATCCAGTTATAAGAAAGAAAAGAGGAAAAAGAAGAAAGAAAATCGAGCTCTCGGAGCGTCTGACAAAACGCTCCAATCTCCACTAATTATCTGCGTCTCTCTTTTGACAATTAGCTAATTATTTCGAATCGCGCAGTTTCCATAATTAAATTTTAGATAATTCTTGAATGCAAATAAGAATAGAGAGAGATAGAAGAAGAGGGAGAAGCGTTGAGAATCCTCCTATATCGTTGCAGAGATCTCATCGAGTCCTGTGATCGCTCAAATCGCGTTAATTTAATGCGTAGCAAATTGATTAGCTTCTGTAATGTGCAGGGTCGTGCTTCTTTCCCAATTAACATAACAACGCGAGAATTAGAGCCATTGAGTCAATTCGCATTGCGCAACTATACGAATGCCACATTCATCCGAGCGTCGCGTGTGCGAGCGAGTTCTCATTCGGCAAAGTCTTTAAGATTTATCTCCATTGAGCACATTGGTTTCCTTTTCTTTATAAAAGAAGAGAAAGAAGCCAGTATATGCCAGTATAAGATTAGATACGCGATTTATATGCCGCTGTATAGGTTTGTTTCTACGAACCTTTAGATTTTCTACAATAAACCATTACCTAAACTCAAGTCTTAAACCGTAAAAGATTGATCAATCGCAATCGAGTATATGAAAAAAATAATCGATTGATTAATTTTTTACCTTTAAGACTTAAGCTATAGAGAGCTCATTATAATTTCAATTTTTGGTACGAAAACCGGTACGATCGCGATTTACGATTTTCCTTTTTCTTCCAACCAAAACGAAGCGACGAACGAGACAGAATCTGACTGGCGCGCGAAAAAAATGATCTTCGTAATATCCGCGCGCCGGTTGTACAGTATATATACCGCCATCGATAGCTCGACGCAACGGTATTATATGTACAACTATTCGTAGAGCCATTCTCTGTCGTGCTGCCATTGACCTCGCATGGCAACTGTCTCGGTGTCGCTTCGCTGGCAAGGTGGCCCACGGCGTGCAACGCGTTCTGCTGCAACCGCTGAAACATAGCCTAAGACAGATGCCACGCCACTCTCGGTACCAATCTGCCACCTGCTCTGATGTGGAGTACGTCCCTACCGAATTATTCCCGCGGTGCAATGCTACACCGGTCTGAATGACAGAGCTTCTTCTGTGAGACTTGAATGACATAAGCAATGTTTGTACGACCTTAACACGATCTTTGTAACTCGTGATTGAACGTTTTTTTTTTTTTATCGTTGTCTCGCAGTATCCTTTTTTGGTTCTTTTTTCTTTCGAACGATATTTGTCCGCGAATTTGTCTTTCCCCATCGCACCGATTACGTAAGTGAAAAAACAATGCGTATTTTCGAGTGAGTTTCAAGGGATCGGTGAATTAAAAGTTTCAACGGGCGAGGCTTCATCCGTGCGATTTCACGAAGAGAAAAGTTGACGTGACGTGAAAGGGCTCTGTTGGCGGAAAGGTGTAATGTAATTAGAGCCACGCGATAAACCGCTTCAATTTCACGGTAAGATGAATGGGAAAAGTGCCCATTCCTGGATTTTCGAAACGCTCCCAGGGATTCCGTATTAATGAGAAGGATGTACGAGAAACACTGAAGAGATGAAAAGATAAATAAAAGGAATGAGAGACATTCTAGCATCATAAACACAACGAGGTGGCGTCAATCCAAGAGTAGACTTTCATCGTAAAGAATAGATTTAATAGAAGAATCGAATTTTTTTTTTTTTTTTTTTTTTTAGGAAATGAATCTGGAATAAGAGATGCGGAGGCCTCGCGGCAAGTATTACAAAACGCAATCTGGAAGTCGGATTACACAAGGACGTGGAGGGATCGCATTCTTATGACGTGATCACGAGCTGTGAGGCCGTTACACACCTCGAACATTATCCAAGACGTATGTCGCACATTCGCTGTCTTCGCAATATCTACCCGCCGCAGTAACTGCGCAAGTTTTTCGCACTTTATATTCTCGTCTGTGATAAACTTCGGTCGTGAAAAAGCGACAAGTTTTCCTCACGATGACGTAAACACATTAAAAATAAAAGGACGCATATACATTACACATCGTTGTCGTTTATTGTATGATTTGGCATACGGCTGCAAATACCTTTGCGTCGACCTTCTATTTGTATCGTTTCTAAACATATTGCTGAACGTTCGAAAATCCTGAATGGAAAGGAATCTTGCCTTTCTTTGGAACCTTTTTTGAGGGCGAATCAATCTTGCCGGAAATGCTGACAGCTGCAGAACGCTTTATTCGCCTCGGGTCTTACAATTGTCCGTAGAATTTCAAAAAGAATCGCTCGAACGATCGTAGAGTATAATCGGGATGCCGGCCGGCTTGTCAAACCGGCAGCCGCGCCCCAGCTCTATATTTAGAGAGATCTCTTGTAAAGAGAAAAGGTATAGTGGCTTCTTTTAGAGAGAAGATACTTATTTTCTACGCCTGGAAACTTTTTCTATTTCCGCCGATTTGATCATTATAGAGTTAAGCTGGATGAACAAAATTGTAAACCGATCAACAAAGGTACGAAGATCGCGGAATGGAATCTTAGATATTGACACTAAAATCCTTTATTCGTTTTGGAGCAATGTCAATTTAACGCTGTACAACGTTATGCAATGTTACACTTCCGTATGACACTTCAAAGCCTTCGCGGTCAAATGGCTGCGCTTCGAAATAGAAGCGCAGTAATGAATAATGGAATAGAATTCAAGACGAGATATTGCGACAAGAGTCATACGTATCAAAGAAAAAGAAAATAAAATGTAGCAAATTGTTCTTTTTACGCGCTTAGAATTTGAATTATTTAAATATATAATAATTATAATATCTACATAAAACATAATAGAAAATTACATAATATTATTATATATTAATTATATTAAGTAATATAATATATATATATATAATAAATGTATAAAGGGATGTAAATTTTGCGCTAAAAATTTCGAATGCAAACTTACAGACCGCCATGTCGTTCTATCGACTGTATATGTAAAATCCTCCGACGAAAGAAAAGACGAAACGAGCACGATCAACACACCACGAAGACGGAATTCGTACTGCGACGCGACGCGTGAAATGTTGACGTCTTACCGGCATTGCCGGCAGGTTTGGCGCATGCGTGGTGTTCAAACGTGTGACGCGTATACACGCGCTATATGCAAGTGATAATTAATAAGCGAGATGAGTCACGCGGATCAACGCGATGTAGATCCACAGATGGAATTCCGCTTGATGTCATGTTTGCGATCCGATTATCATTGACGTCAAAAAATTGCCAGACCTATGAATATGATTGCGTGACGACTAAATCGTCGCCTTCAATCAAATATCTCGCGTTTTTTTTTACCATTTGCTACCGTAATGATAGCTCATATTTGGATCATGTTTATGCCGTGTACTGCGTTTGCGCGGTAAAAGTTCATTACATGATTCACAATATCGCGATTTGACTTTCACAATACATCATTAATATCACTAAACGTTTATACATTCATTATATGCGGAACAGATATAACAAGTGACACACAGTCATTGTCATTATTATAGTCGATGATTTCATTTAGATTGCATCTGACGAATAAACCAAGTTCATTTAATGAACCTTTTTTATTTCTTGAACAGTCTCGTAAATATGACGTGATGATTTAACGATAATAATAACTGTGAAATAAGAAATTTTTATCTGAACGCAAGTTTCATCGCTTCTCTTTGTGGTGATTAAATCTTCATCCAATAATTCCAACTAAATTTACGCAAAGTATACAAAACGATTTGTGAAACTTATGCGCTTTTTTATGCATTATATTTAATTTTGATAAGAAAATTGATCATGCCAACGATTGTTGTTGCAAGTAACCAGTTAACGATCACCGGTTACCAGCGATAGTTATATACTGAGAAATTCTCATGATCTCCATGTTGATCCTCTGTAGATACACAAGAAACTTACAGTTTGAAAGGTATACTATTATTTGTAGCAAGAATTTCATTTCATTTCATATAGATGCCGGTATCGATTTTTTATTCTTAAATGCAGACATATTTTCTAGATTTTCATTATCAATAGATCATTTATATCCTGGATTAATTTTCATTATCTTTCCAAGTATACAAAAATTAAGTCTTTTATATATATACACTTTACATTTTTAGAACGTCGTACTTATTCTCGAAAATATTGCACACGAAAAAATATAGCATACTTTACGTATATTCTAGATTTTTCATTATTTTCAGTATTTCCATTGCAATATTTTTCAAAAATAAGAATCCAGTTCGCAATTAAAAAATATTTACCACAAAACCCATGAAAATATTTAAAAATATTTTCAACACCGCTTTAACCATTCCGATAATATCGTTGTATCTTTATTATTGCACAATGCGTCAATCGCGTGATTGAAAATAATTTATTCGTAACGCATTGAAAGTTGCATACAATGTCTATAAGAACTGGTATGCAAACTCAAGATATTACGAAATGTATAATTGTGAATTGCATCGAAATGGCGCATCTTGCTGTTACGGGGCGGCACTTCTCTAAGCTGTTAACGCATTTCTTAACAGCTGACAATTGACGTCAATTACCAGCTTTGTACCAGCAATTTATACGTATTGATATTAAAGCCACGATTTGAAGGTAACAAAAGGAATAGAAAATTATTGATGATACCTCTCTAATAGTAATATATAATATTAACTGTTTGTACTTTTTTTAATCCTCTCCCGGCGGACGCCTGGTTGGCGTGCATGTTAATTGTAATGTTATATTGTTGAGTAGGACATTACAACTAACATGTACGTTATATATAATTTGATGTTTGTTGTATATAATAAACTTAGATTTTTTAATTAATTGTAAGTTGAAATAACCTCGTCTGTGATTTCTTTACAGACATTATCAATCTCAACAATTTACGTAATAAATATTTATCGTTGAAAATGAATTATATACCTTCATCTCTCAATGCTTTTCTCTTAAACAAAATAATATTCGGAACCTGATACGGAAGGCGGCGACGGACCTAAGCTTGTTTAACTACCACAAGTGTGCGGTATGGTTCAACAATGCATCGGCATATCGTCAAATGCACTGACCGGTTCCGAGAGCGCCGAGACTACGCAAGACGACTACACGACGAGATCTCAACGCTAAAGCGAGTGTGAAGAGATCCAAATTTACAATAGTTTATCAGAATCGGTTTATCTGAAACAAAATTAATGATTAAAAACTTAAAAAGTATCTGATTGGAGAAACTCGAGTTTTTAAAACCTCAAACGAGTTGCATTAAGAGATAATTCGGATTCCTGTGTTTCAATCACTTGTTACATTATAGTGATTGTGCCACTTTATTGATGCAGCGTGCGAGACGTAATCCCATATAGCTCCGGGGCGTTATGGAGTTTCAAGGAATCGCAGGTGAGGTCTCTGTTGTTTCCACGCGCATTACATCTCCTATATACGAGTTTCCTCCTCACGTCCGGCGTCCCTTGAAACTGGTCCTGACCGTGAGTACCAAAGTCAGAGCGGTCGCTGGCCTTGTATCCTTTCGTACAGACGTATCTCGGAATAGTCTCGCTCGATTTCCAGAGCGAGCACTCATTTTCGAGCGAAAGGAACATTTGCAATAAGAGTAACAGAAAGTACGCCGAATATTACCGTACGAAAGCAAATAAAACGGTACTTTATTATTCTTTCTTTCTCTCTCTCTCTCTCTCTTTCTTTCTATCACAGTTGAGACTACAAGTACATATCATATCATATCTCACATCACCAACAATGGTTAGAATGTACATATATATATGTATAATATATATATATATATAGCAAACAAATAAAAGTAAACGAACAAAATATCGTTGCGACGAAAGAAGACGTTATCTTACAGTTTATAGAAAGAACGAATGAGCGATTCCTGAGAGCATGCATGCGATAAAATGTCCAAAGTGATGAGCATAATAAGAGACAATTAGATAATATATTCAATATATCGCAAAATAATATAATACGTAAAATTCGCCAATATATGGCACTAAATAATATTTATGACTATCTATTTCAAGCGACTGTTGACGCTCGAGATTTGGCGACGCACAATTTATTTTATTTTAATTCATTTTCTCGCGTTCATATTATGTTAGAAACATTTTTATTAAACAATTTTGTCAGAAAAAATTCACGTTAAATTAAGAAAGTATTTTATGAGAAAAAACTCAAATTATAAAAAAATCTTTAAAAGTAACATCTTTTTACAAAAAAAAATAAATTCCGTAATTTTAGCACACAATTTCTTTTTTTTAAATAATTTTAAGGATTTTCTTTACCTCGGTTATCTCATAGAATTAATTGGTTTGATTTTTGAGAAGCTCATTTTAGATTAGAACATGTCGCGCTACATACCGAAGAAGTTCGATCCGCGAAACAACGATACCTCGCACTTGTTGCTCGACGCGCGACAAACTTTGATTATATCGCGTGAATATTTCGACAGAGAGCAAACTACGCTAAGCGCATAAGGCTTGAATGAAGCCGTACGATGCTTCCCGAGGGTCTTGCCCTTGTCTCGCGCGTCAACAGTAACATACACGATTTATAAATACGATGCTATAAACAGCTATCTCTTTTATACGTCGCGCAGTAACAGCATCCAAGATATATATCGTTGTACCTACAGCCACTTAAAGACGGTACCTCGCGGATGGATCGATCCGAACAGAATTTTCATCGCACGATTCGTATTATATACATACACAAAAAATTCATGATTCGTTATTAATACCTATCGATCTAACATGTATAATGCGATAATGAGACTTACTGCACAACGAAAATAATCGCGCCGTGTCGCAATTATCGTTATATTTCACTTTATCTGCACCGTTAACGCGTTTATACGATACAAGCACGAATATTCTCAGAATTCCACGTATGTCAGTAGCGGTTTCTAATTAATTAACGAGAAAGCGATATTCTCCGTACGCGTATAAGAGCGGATATTCTAGCGTTGTTAGTCTACTTTTCACTCGCCATTGCTCTGGATTAAAATGAAACGCACACGCTTTGTGCATATATACTATATATCAGCCATTACTACGGTGTCCTTGACTGAACGAGCTTCTTCTGTTGAAAACACTCGATAAGATTAAAAACCCATCTGACGTTCTGCATTAATGGTTCAAGACAATCACGTTTGAGAAAAGGATGAGTTGGATAATTATCGCATAAAAGCCAATTCAAATTAGCAGCTTATTATCTATCTTAGAGACACAACATCCACACAAATATTCTATTATAAAAATAATAGAGTCCATAGATTGTGTTTCTGAATGTGTTAAAAAGTCAATGATTATTTTTCATTGCCTCTTATACAGAGTAATAAATGTTTTTTTGTTTCTTTTCAACGCAAGTTCTTCTAGGATACACTGAAATAAAATACTAAATTTTAATAAATATTCGTTTAAATAGTTTTAAGTAAATATTTACTAAATATAAACTTATAGATATTTATTTGATATAAAAATTGTTAATTTGATTAACTATATAATTTTTTATTGAGTAAATATTTATTACTGTAAGTAAATGTTTACTATTCAAAGAAATATGTATTAAGATTTAGTAAAATTTCTTCAGTTTATCTTATTGTATTTAGATAAGCACACATAAATCTCGGTGAAAGTTAGATGCGCTATATGAATGAAGATACGAATTATTTACGTGAAATTTACCATTTTTGCAGAGTAATAAGTGTTCTGTAAACAGCACTTTGCGTGGATGCGTCTGCTCGAATTTGTAGGAATTCTGCGACAACGGTTAGATTTTAAAACTTATATATTTATTGTTAGCGCGTTAAATATAACAAGAGAGTATGCGGAGCGCTAAAGCTACCAAATATTCTTGATACGTTTCCGCCCGCGACAGGAATTTCCTGCTTGCAACGGAAGTCTCTGTCAGCGATGGAGTCAATTACGAGAAAGCAACGAGGCCTAGCAGACCGCACCTCGCGTTTCGAGAGGCGAGTCTTCGTTGATTAATCGAAAGGCACGCTGCGGTTCGTTAGCGGCTACATCGGTTGTCGCTACGGGATCGATGATTCAGAAAAAGAACGCAGAGAAAATCGAAAATCATCCGGTCTTCTGTCTCTTTCTGTCTCTCTCGTCTCTTCTTATCTTCCGAGCGGGGGCCGACCCTCAGAAACTGCCACACTCTCGCAATACGCGATTTCCTAGTGGCAACGGTGGACGGAAGTTGTTGATCACCTGCAAAGTGTCAGAGAAGAAAAAAAAAAGATCGGGATTATATAAAAACGAGGGCGTGTCGCGGTGCTTCGTCGATTCGAAATATTACATATTCCCGCTGGTCGCCGAGACGACGACGCGACGCGGTGGTCGCGGTCGTCGACGTCTAAGGCGTTCTGAACGCCTAAAAATAGCCGTCAGTGCAGTATTCGCCGTATAGCGAGCGAAAGAGGAAGAAAAAAGAGAAAACGTCGATTCGCTACGACGATATGCATCTCTTGCGGCTGGAAAATGGTAATCGCGTCGCCGCAGAGGCGTTCGCCGTGTCATGTTGATCGCCAATCGGGATTCATTTATCATACCAGGTAAAGGATATATGTCGAGAGGAACGTTACAGGGAATTCTCGAAATCGTTTTAGATAAGAGACAGACGACAAGCGGTCGCACTTGGCGATTTCCGAGGGTTGATCGGAGAATAAAAGGAAATAGCGTCGCGGAAAACGGGGAGGTGCGATAATTCCTCTGTGACATTTCTCACTTACCACCCCGTGATTCTCGTGGCAAGGACACTCCTCGCCACGTGGGAACTTTCGCAGATTGCGGAAGATGTTGAGTTGATGATGGGACACCTCGATGTATTTTTTAAAGAGGATCCAAGTGACGCTCTCGTTGCACGGCGGCGTCGTCAGTGAGCCCAAATACGTCCAGTATCCATTGTCATCTAAACCAGAGAATTGAAACGGTTTTTTTGCGGAAAATTAAAATAAAAGTAAAACGAAAGGAAATTTACAAACTAATGGCTAAAGAGACATACAGAGGTGCGATTGCTTAAATCAGCGATAACATGCTGTTAAAGCTAGCGTGACACAAATTATACAATATTACTTGATCGCGTTTGTATTTATCTTCCAATGTGACAGTAAAATTAATATTGAAATACGTATCGAATTTCGTCGAATTAAAAATCCAATTATATCTCGCAAACGTTATTTTTGTGATAATGTCTTTCCAGTTGAAACATTTCCTCTCTTCCACTTATATCATCTTGTGTGGGTCGTACAAATCGGAATAATGGAAGAAATAACTCAAAAAATGAAATTATACGATTTGATTAATGTACTGAAGAAGCATATTTTGTGTAAGTGCGAATCTTCTATTAGTCTTATCTTTCGGTGTCATCAATAATACTCGAGCGACATTACTCGACTTACGAAATAGTATATCAATAAATAACAAGGACACTACTAGGTGAATATCTGAATGAGATCTGCATATGTACGATAATTGAAATATTTCCACAACACATGTCGCTTACGAAAGATAACTAACAATTAATAAACAAATTGTGAAGCTACTACATTAACTCTAATATTTGTGCGCATATAGATAGACATGTACAAAGAAATACGTATACAGTAAAATAAGAAACTTCAATAAAATGAAATAAATTGATATAGATTCCACAATGCAAAACAGCTATTCCTCACGAAAATAAATTCTTTTTATATCAGGAAAAAAACCAATTACTGCGCTACGTCGTCACACGTCATGCCAATCATCCTGTGACATGTGTTCATCCCGACCGTGCGGCATGCAAGACTTTGGAAAATTGGAGGCTCCTTGAGAATTGCCTTGAGAAGACATATACGATAGATCGAGGCTTTTCTCATATTTTTTCCTAAGGTGTTGCTGAAAATCGGGAGCCCCACGCTCGAGCGCGCAGCATCTCAAGTTTCTCTCTCATTTTCTCGCATGAATTAGTCCAAGGCGATACGAACCTTGGAAGTCCCATTTGTTCTCGTGGCGTGGTATGATTCGGTCGGCCCAGCGCATGCACGGATTCACGCATCTCTGATGCGTGCCGGCCCGTCCGCCGCGCACTGTGCGTGCCGTGCGAAGCGAGAGCATATGCGAGAGAAATTTCGTTAGTCGATGAGTTAATGCAGAGGCACGTGCCAAGTAATTGTTAACGAGATGCTAACGACGGTTTCTATCATCTCAGAAACGATGGTTCTACTTTGGCACTGTTTAGTGTTTTGCTCGAGCTTTGGCTGCGATGAGCCACAGGAAACATTGTAAATATACATTATACATATATATATATAATATGCAATACAAAAATATTACATATTATTGTAGGTGTTTTATATTATATAGTTAAAAATAGAGGGTATAATATCCACTGGTCGCAACACCTGTTTCACTCTGCAAAAATATGCGAATTTCAAGATATGGAATAACTTGGTCAAAAATTATTGTATCGAGATGCTTAAAAAAGCATTTTGCAGCTTGGAACCTCTACTTTTTCGGATCGCTACTTTAAAAAGCAGTCTCACGGAGATTTGACAAAGTTACACAAATAAAGATGTATCAGATTTCAAAATTTTTTTACGAAATTTGCGGAATTCCACGGGGCAGATTAAAAATTGTGCACAAATGCGATTATGCGATTACATATCATTCAAAAGAGCGAATTTTTAATTTGCTTTTTTACGAAGCTCCGTACGATTTTTTTTTCACCGTTGAGTTATTCAACGTTGAAGCAAAAATGACCCTTTTTGTTCAACGTTGAATAACTCGATGAAAAAAATCGTACATAGATCGGTAAAAGATCAAATTAAAGGTAAAGATTCATTCTTTCAAAAGCTGTAAACCACATTTGTGCACATTTTTAGTTCGTACCGTGGAAATTCTCAAATTTCGTAAAAATGTTTTATGTTTGACATATTTTTATTTGTGTAACTTCACGAAATAGCAGTAAGAACGTTTGTTTAAGTACCGGTCTGAAAAGTAAAGATTTCATGCTTTAAAATGCTTTTTTAAACATCACGATACGATAATTCTTGACCAAGTTATTCTATCTTGAAATTTACCTATTTTTGTAGGATAAAACAGGTGTTAATTTTGTTGGCCAGTGTATATAAATGTGTATTATATATTTATATAGATGAATTAAAGACAGGTGAGATAAAAAGAACTTTACTTGACTAATTTCTGAGTTCGCAGTCCATCGGAGCTGTTTTTTGTTCAAATTAATTAATAAGTTAGGTTAACTACAGACTATGTTAAGATTGATTCGATTAGCTTGCGCAAACAGATTTAAGCTACAATTGAATATTACAGGAGAAACAACAAGACATGTATATATCACGAACACTATATGCATCGACGAGTAGACCAATAGACGGAATATTTGATCAAAGATACGATCACCAAATTACCCAGGCGATTATTCGGTCGTAACTTACCAGGAAGAAGTTTGCCGGGATCGATAGGTTCCGTAATTTCCACAACCTCGTCCTTGTGCGAGACGTACGGCAACAGTCGCGCAATCTTGTCCATTTCTTCATGAGTCTTGCCGACCTAGAAGCAAATCTCTTTCACTCTTCTTTCCTTTCGATTGTAACGACACGCTTTTTCACGTGTGGCTGAGACATAATCAAGCCATTCTCTCTCTAACAAACTATTCTCAATTAAATGTTCCGATCGAAAAAGAACATTAAAATTTAGCAATAATATACTTAAGAATTTATTGCGAAGTTAATATAATAGATCCCCTTATCGAATATTTTTAAGTAGCGACCGTAATGACCGCAAAGTGGTACGAGGAACAAATAAGTGCGATAAAAACGCTCGACATTGAGCCGTTGATTACGTAATGTAATTTTTAGAATTGTGTCTGGTGCATTGTCACCGCGTGGCACATAAATTTTCTTCGATACATGTGTTTTCCTTACGTTTTTTTATGCAACCTGGACATATTTCGAAGCTGTTACATAATCGCACGATATGCACGAATCTCGCGCGAAGAAAGCTCGCTCCGCGAGTTCTTCCTGCTCTCCGAGGTTCGTCGCGTCCATTCTTGTAACGCAATGTCGTATCGGCGAGAAGTGTATCATTTGCACGAATAGAATTTCGCAATTGCGACCCTCGCATGAGATATCGCGAGCCGCGCAGCTGCAACCTAAATATTAGACACACAAAGCGCTGTGCAAAGCGGAAGAGGGTAATTGCTGTTGCACGCGATCGAGATATTCTTTCGCCACAAAACGAAATGCAAACGATAGTCCGACGAAAAGGTGCATTTGCGTGTCTCGTTTCGAGTCCGATACGGCGTAATTATGTCCATGTTTATATAATCGACCATTGACGATCGACGGTGACACCTCCATACTACTTCCACAGGGATTCTGCTTGTGCAGCTTATGTCTTATATAAAAAGCTTAAATGTGTGACTATAGATAGACTCATATATAAACGAATTAGAATCCCGAGTGGAAAAGGTGTGGCTTCTGTGGACATACTTGTATGATATTTGACGAATTAACGTATTAAATATTTCAGTTCCATAGAGACAACTAAGATAAAAAAAGAATATGACTTTTTAATTTTTAGTACATATATTAGTGTGAATAAATTAGAATAGAGATCTAATTAGATTTATTATAATACAAGGAAAATGATGTTAAGTATATAAATTATTTTTAATAATTATAATCAATGCGTGCAATTAATTACAATTTTATCTAATAAAATACAAGGGTAGTCTACAAACCTTAAGAAAGACACCTAGAACGGCCAGACCGTCAGAGGCTTTCGCGGCTTCGGCGAAGGTCTTGTATTTGCTGGTATTCCAGTGCACAAGATGTAACTGAAAGCAACGTTTTTACCCTCCAATGAATCTAAATCTATTAAGTCTAATAGCAGACAATCAGGGAGGAGCGGAATGGCAGGTTGACTGGAGCTATAACGAGTACTTAATCCCTCCAAATAGCCAATTAAGAAATGTCAATTTCTGTATTCGTATCGTATAGAAAGATGATTATTAATGATATCTTGTCTGTTTCGATTGCCCCGAACACATTCTGTAAAATATTCTTCTTGACCGCGATTTACATCACTCGATCGCAAAGAAACTCCATCAATAAATGATAATTGCATTTGACGGATAGTCGTTAGAGAAATTATGTAATCAGTGCGGTAACTGGAAGCTCTTTTTTGAAATCCCGCGGATATCCGATCGACCCGGTTTCCCAGATACGGGATTGCCACGAGGGGATATAGAGTCTCGCGGTAAAAGGAACGTTGCGCGTCGCAACATTTCCCCACTCGGAAGGAGTGCATCCAAATGAAAGAAGGACGTGCGCAGTATTTAAATGTAAAGTCATTACGATAGTCAACTGATTCGCTAATGCGTTTAAGACTGAATCGTTTAAATTGCATTCGGACCGGGAAGTCGCCTGTTTAAACAGCGCATTGATTTTCAAAAGAAGTCGCGGTTGTTCAGAATAGGAGTCTGAATTCATATCCAAGACGCATAATTTTAAACGTGCTTTGTTCATCGACGATTATATTATTGCATACATCGTATATCAAAGAAATTTTCCATACATCAACAAGTTATCAATATTTTCTTGATCTTTTCTGGTAGCACGGTGTCAAGTTGAAGTCAACTATTTATAATAGATTAAAGACTCGATTACATAATCGATAGCAACTTTATCGCGAGTTGAGCAAAACAAACGTATTTTACGCTGGTAAGATAAGTGAGCAAGAGGGGGCAAGCTTCCGGGAAAATAGATAGGCCCCTGCGAATCATATCGGGAAGAGTGTTCAGGAAATACGCAATTTTCTGTCGGCTGATGATTATTAGTATCCTTTTCATAATTCACAAGTGGGTGTTTTTTCACCTTCAAGAATTCCTTCGATGTCTACCGCGCGCACACCTCGTTACGCGAGTCAACTATTATTCGCGCACACGAGTGGCAGTTTCGATGATAATGTTCATTATCGTTTCACCTCCGTGCGCGTTTGTTATTTTTTTCTTTAGTCGCGCAAACCGATAAAAGCGCGGCTTTGTGGTAAGCTGCACGTACAGCTGCCAGAACATAAAAAAAACCTTTGACACATCATTGGCATTCTATCAATGCGACGTATATATACGACGATAATAGCGTATATTATTTATGAGATAAATGAGACGCCCGCGTAATTATATTATTAATGTATGTCTGTTGGTAATTAACGTCTCTCTCTCTGTACCACACTTCATCAAGTTTTATTTATATCCGCAAAAAAAGAGCCATTATTTCGCATCGCTCATAACAGTGTTTGTGGGCGACTAATAACTAAGACTAGAGCCTCGGTTTATGCTCGGTAAAATGATCGCGCTAATAAATTGCACACGGCGGTGGACAAGGTCGATGCCATAAGCTCCTCCGTCGATGATCGCAAACAGAGTGAATCATACTGGATGTGACTGGATTGCTAACAAACTACTTTGGCTATCAAATGGGATAATTATACATTCGTCATTTTTAAATCGTTAAAATCTTGTTAGCCAAGTGAACGATTCCAAGGGCGCGAATAAAAGCGACACTTTGTGCAGGGAAGAGATAATAATATTCTATACTTCTCCAGCGAAGGCTTGTCCGTCGACCGTATGTTCAGATCCCCTGGAATCGCTGCATCCCCAGTGACAGTGATACTGCTCTAATTTGTAGACATCGTCCATCAGCGGTCCGCCGCTCAAAACTGTCGACAACGAAAAAATCGATATAATATTAGATGACATGTACGATACGGTAATATACTGCGAGATAAGATGCAAATGAATGGGTAAACGTCTAAATTGGGTCCACGTGAACGTGGAAATTTTCGGAGCACGATTTTGCCGGAGTCACGAACGGACGTAACTCGGGCACAGACCGCTTTATTACAGGATACGCTTGATTAGCCAAACCACACTGACGGGAGCTATATAACGAGAGAAGATCATTGCATTTATACACCGCGTGACTTATTTGCGTCACGACGTCATATTTTATTATTTTGTGTCTCGACTCTGTTTATACTAGGATAAATTCTTAGAGAAAATTCGGAGCGCCAAGTCTACGTTCTCTCTCGCGGAATTTTCCGGGTATACGTGCGAGACTCTAAAATTATTGTGCACACAGCAGGCATGGAAACTTTCATGTAAACTCTAACTAAAAGTTATTTCAGATCTGAAAAGAATAAAAAACATGTTGCTTCAACAAAATTTTATTTTTTATAATTAGTATTGTTATTCTCTCTCTCTCTTATTTTGCAGTAAATATGCAATTTGAAATAATATTGGTAATTTTTGAGAAAGGTCTCCTCTCTATACGGAGTGACATATCGTGACTTTAATATCGCAACATCTATCTATCTATTGTTTTGTGTCACATATTGTTGTATAGAATGTTCTGCTCCGCTTCGTGCACACCACATATGAATACACATAATGCGCCACGGCACGGTCGTCCTCATTTCGAATACGCCCCGAGCACTCGGCGAAGGTAAAAGCCCTCCCTAAGTGGCACGAAGTCGAAACCTTTGTAACGAGATCGAGTATTCGCGCGCGAGAATTCCTCCCCCGTAGCAGCATATAATTTCGGAATACATAACACCGTGACAAAACGAATAACATCGCGTTCGTTCCTTATGTAAGGTGCATGATGCACGAAATTAATAAAAAGCATTTATGTAACTTATTCGTGCGGAAAGAGAACTCCTTTATCCGCAAAAGCTGCGGATTTAACGCGGCTTTAATCGTACGGCACGGTACATTCGCCACCGTTGCCAACACGTTAATGTTTACAGAAGTGCGCTTAAGATGGAATGCGAGGCCGAGTATCACGAACACAATCATCTAAAATTATATCGAATCACTCCATCACAGGATTACAAACATCGCTACGCGGCGGTTTCTCAACGCGCCGCAGTCACGATGATCTGCAATTTAAAGTCTAGATCGCAGCTCCGGATTACAAAAAAATATGTTGTTTGACGATCGTCATCGATTGTTGTTAAGGATGTATCAAGTGTATAGCACCTATATTAGCCATCAAAAAGTGACTGGAAATTGAAATGTATATCTTCCGTTATATGAAAAATGAATATTATAGATGAAACAACAGTTGAAGAAGGCAAATATTTATATTTAATTAACAATTTTGATTTAAATGAAAATTTTCTCATTTTATCTTTAAAAACATCTATTCTCATTAAAATATAATTTTTTATTCAGATTCTAAATCGCTGCGCCAAATTTTTTATATTACTTTCGAACACAATATGAAAAAATTTGTAATTTTTTAATTCTTTTATCTTGTTAAAAAATACATTCTTAAATACTCTATGTTCGTGATACTTTGAGCGATATTTTTAGACGTTGTTCACACATGTAATAAATCGTATCATATACACATTAGTCACGTCGAAGGCAAAACAGAGAAAAGTTCTATGTGAATAAAAAAGACAGAAGAAGATGTCGCGATTCTCAATCGCGATACTCACATGTGCCCTCACCATCGGTGTCCACCCGCCAACAGTAACCAGGATTGACCAGCTTCCGGGACGCTGTGGCGGGATATTTCCATCGTAGAGGTTTGCTACTTAAAGCCTCATGATCGGATTCGACTCGTTTGGTCTCGATGTTCACCGGACTTTGCCTGGAGCCGGCTGCCATGGGGAATTTCGTTACCCACGTGCTAGGTCCTACATACGCCGAAATTAAAAAAAAAAAGAAATACATTCATATTGCATTGATATTACCGTTTCCGTTAGGAAAATAAAGATCAGTGGCCGCAAACAAATTTAAACGAATCTGTCTCGGTGATAAGACGGGAATAAGATAGTTCTGTTTTTCTGTTATAATCGCTTATAATCAATCCCTGAATATAATTTTACGATAAGAATGGCACGCGTATATCGTGACAGCAAGATAGTACTACTCGGTGATATGAGCTCAAGCTCAAGCAAATGAAGAAAGTTCGCACGCCAAGCTCTTGAAACGAGAAACAAACTCTTTATCGCACGTCACGTGCTGATAATAGATTCAAGTTTGTACTTGACAAAATTTTCGTCTACATGGATTATCTTCATCACTTTAGAGTCTATTCTTTCCACGTACGCATAATGAGGATAATATTTACAGAAGCAATAACATTATTACTATTTAACGAGGCAATAAGCGACTTAAAAATAATTCAAAAAGGTTATGTCGAATTTATGTTATTACATTCGACTTAAAATGTTAATTATAAGAATTAATATCCGTGAATATTACACAGACTGAATGTCAATTTCAACAACAAAAAAATCTGATCAAGTATTATTATAATAATCTCGTGTATATCTGACGACGTGCATCACGTGTCGACACATTAATCTTTCTTTATTGGGGCATGTGATCCCAACGCTGTTTGCTTTGTAATTTATAGATGTTGAACGCGTCAATACATACAAAAGATTGGGAGAGCTAAAAAAATTAACACATGAATTAAACAAATTGATTGTCAATTAATAGGAATGATATTTGTATAACGTTCGAACCATTACTGATTTTCGCGAAATCGCATTTAATTATCAGGTCATCATGTAATATAATGTATATTTGTGCGAATCGAATAAACACACTGTATCACGTGGTGACCTCATAATTATCCGACTCAAAGTTGCGGTCAATCAATCGTCATCAAAACTCAATTAAATTCGCGGAATCATATTAATTTTGATTTGTTTCATCATATAAGCTTATAGAGTTGTATTTAAAGGAAAATAAAAGAGATTATATACATATATAACTCATACGATATAAATTATCCAAATACATATATTAGAAGATATAAAATCAGGAACACATAGAAAAAGAAAAAAAATATTAAAATTCTTAATTCTTATATTAAATAATATGATACAATTATCATAATATGATAATACCATTATGTAGCGAAATATCAGCATGCTTCTAAACACAGTCCTCGTGATAGTATATTTCAGTTTATTTATACATTTCGTTTAATCCCTTCATAAATAAAAACTTGCACCTTAGAATGAGACGAATTAGTCATTCGTGGAACGTAAGAAACCGTCCGCAGCATTGAGATTGGCGTCACGTGAATTCCCATTGAAGGATAGCTCCGCGATAGTAAAAAAGCAGCCGTTTATCCGGTTCGAACCGAAAAATACTGCATACGCACAACAATGCGAACTTGTATCGCTTGCTAGATAACTGATCGAAATGTAAATTATCAGCGGTTTGCAAACATTTGTGAGAACACTGAATGGAGATAAGTATAATCAGATAATCTAGGTATATTTTGTTATCAGTTATTCTAGGAATTATATATATATATATATATGCTCTAGATAATTGCAATCTTAAATATGCATCTAAATCATCTAAACATTTTTTTATTTAATTTATTATTTTCGAGAATATTATGATTGAACAAATTCGCGCAAGTATTCCTGTAACGCGTTAATCAATTTCATACTTGACAACATAAAGGATTGATTAGGTGGTATTAGAGGATTAAGAATATAAAAGATTCTTCATTCATTGAAAAAATTTAGTCTAATCATAATAAATAATTATTGTTCTAAATGGTGTGAAAAATTATAACATGAAATGTTACTGCCACATTGAGAGATTATCCATATTGACGCTATAGTCGACGAGTCGGCTCGAATTCTTGTTGCAGATAGTAAGAACGCTCGTTTGAAGGTTCGTTCAACCTTGCGATGCGATGATTCAACGATTCACAGGAAATATTGTAAAGTTGAATGCGGAAAACCGTGAATGCACTTGGCAAATATTTCTCTCTCTTTCTTGATATCGCAATCCTTTTGCGCCAATCAAGGAGCGCTTAGTACATTTCCTATACATATAAACACGTTTTCCACATATGGATTATCCTGAGAGTGTCAGCCCTCATTATCGAAGCTCGGTATTAAAAAAATGGTTACTTAATGATATAAAGCCTTACATTCCGTCATATGTCATTCTGCGATACGTCATACGCGATATTTATTTAGATATCTTTGTCATGAGATCTCTCTTTTCTCATTACATTTTATTTATATCCTTAATGCGTGCTGTGTAGTATTATTAGAGAAAGTAAAAAAGTTATTCAATATTCACGAGTCGCGGATCAAAAGGCTGCAGCACGCGCAGGTCGATCTTCCTTTTAAACGGCGACTCGTAAGCGAATATTAATGTTGCTTTAAAATACACGGCATATTTAACCGTTAAAAAAAGAGAAGGAATAATCAACTTGGTTGATATATTAACGAATGCAATGTGCAAATAAGTCATTGTTAGTGGATTTCACCTGTGTGTGCATAATAAGCGCACGCTGGCTTAATGGCGGCCATTGGTCGGCGGGCAATTTGCAAGTAAATCGTCGCGAATGAAGACGCGAGACCGCGTAATCGTTCGCGAGAAAGATTTCTCTTGCAATTCTCCGATTGTAAACTTTCTTTATTGCTCTCTTGTCGATATTCCCACGTGTCCGATACGATATTTGCGGCACGCGATGATTCGAGTAGAAAATACGTCAATGTTCGTAATTTACGTTACATACGATATACAATCGTGAAACATCATCACACGTAATACATAAATGATACAACACAAAACGCACAAGAGATGATCTCCTCTATAAAGGTGTACCTCGCTACGTAACTCGCAAAACTGTTCGCAAATGCTGACGCAGAATGATGATTACCGCACGCAAGATACATTCAGATAAAAATAACCAATTGTACGCAAAGAAAAAACAAACGCTAATCTTGATTCTGTGTATCCGCATTTATGAACTACGTCTTTGCAAATTATGTAGAAACACCTTGAAAGAAATTAATCCTCGCAGAATCGCTTTTAGGGGTTTGATTGTGTATGTCACACAACATGATGAAAATTACACAACTGAGCGAATTTACCAGAATATTTATAGTTTTATTGATCAACACCTACTCTCTAAATTCTTTGGAGTGGAATTTTATTCTGAGGTAAAAATTAAGTTAGAAAGAGAGTGGCTTTTCAATTTTCAATCTAAGAGTGAGATTTCGTTTGTCCATGTGACAATTTACTCGAAAAGTTTTAGAGAGTAGTGATTTGCTGATTTTTGTAATTTTCGAGCTGTACAACCGCCGAGTTTATAAAAATTCTAGATCATACCTGTAGGTGTTGGAGACTTGGCGTTGCCCGAATAGAACTTTCTTTTTTTAATTCTTAACGTAACAATGATAGTATACTTTCTATTTTTATCCCGGATATGGAACTCGATTGAAATCTCAGTCGCTTCGGCGACAACTTAAATCAATAGGAAGTATAGCTTGTGGTATTGTATAACACATTGAGAGATCTCTTATATAAAAACCATCGATTTTTATTAATTTTTGGACTTTATCTCTGTTCTTTTTCTAAAAAAAAAAAAATTTATTTTGATTTCGACTCGAATATGACGCGCGTGTTAATTATTAGAACTTGCACAATATCTTCCTGAGTCGTACTTGTCAGTTCCTACGTTCGTACATCGTTTACAATTATCTCATATATATGCTAATTAACTAAGATAGAATATCTGTCTTCTTCATTCACTTACAAGCATGATCGAAACCGACGTTCCGGTACCTGTTAGGCAAACGGGTACGCAAATAAGATCGTCGTTACGCGATTTCGTGCATCGGCCTCGATTACTCAAAATCCGAAGAAAATCTGCATTGAACGTAATTTCATTTCCAACATCGTATAGCGTTCTGAAGATATACAGAACAGAATTAGAATCAAGGGTGTACATTCTACGCATTGGCAATCGGCCGGGCCATTCGAAATTCTTCGATCTACGAATCGCGAGCCAAGATAAATCCGCTTGGAAAACAAATAAAACGATCCTACTCGGCAGCGGGATCCGCAGCGGCAGCCCGCAATTACACGAACAGTGTCGGCGCGCGGCGGCGGATTCTTCCAAAATAATTAATGACAGCTGAATGCATCGATCAATTTCAAGCAAACGAGCCTCTCGCGGTCACGACTGTTGCCGCGCCACGCGCCTGTTTAAACAACCAACGACTTAATCATCCCTCTCTCGTTTTGGCCGATCCCTGAAAATTCATATACGTCGCGGATTCTCTCAGCAAGCTTCACTGCCCAGCTCTGCCGCTGACGCTCGTACGGCGCGCACAATCGGCTGAAAGATAGCGCTGACAAATTGACTCGAGATTAAGGGCGTTTCGGGGGCATGCACGGCAACCCCGGTCGGCGGAACAAAGTGAAACTGGGTCTGCGACCCCCTCCGACTTTCGGTGTGCGTGCCCGTCCGTGCGGCACACGTATATATATGCACGCCTGTACTTGCCCGCGCGCGGGAACGCGGGTGCATCGGCCTACGGCACTACGGAAGAAAACTATTGATTTTCATTTACCCCGCGGAGTCGTGCCCCGTGTTTCACGAAGGCTGCGAGGAAAGAAGCACCCCTCTCGGTCGCTTGGCACGACCCGTTCGCCCTGCATTCGAACGGGAAGACAATGGCCCCGGGTCAGTGAGCCTGCGGTGCCATCCGGAAACCGAGACGAAAATCGAGCGAATGTAAAAGGAAGGAGGGACGAAATCAACTTTCTAGCAGGGCTTTCCCTACCTCGACATGCGTTCCGAGACTACAGGTGACTAACGTATGAGCACGTTCTGCAGAGATACATCAATTAAAATTGATGAAGGATCTATAAAATGTATATCGTTCGATTAAGTCAATATTTATAAAGACCGTTAAAGCTAACAGTGCAGGCAGTTGTAAAAAACCAATCGAGAGTTATCGCGTGCAAATGTATCGCAGCGAAAGATTTCTAGTAAGATATTATTATTTGAAAAATTAAGGTTGGCGAAGGATCGATAAGAGAAAAACAAGCGGACGCCACGCGGCCATTATTCCAGAGAGCGGAATTTTCCCAGGATCTCAATTTGAAAAGAAAAAACTTTGCAGATACATGAAAAAGGAAGTTTACACGTGCTGCCCAGCTTTCCCAATTTCATAAAGCCCCTAATAATATATGGTTTTACAACAAAATGAAAAAGTTGACAGACCAACTTCTGAGTATTAGACATATGGAGAGAGAAAGAGTGAGAAAAGTAATAAAGAAAGTAGTGAGACCAGCAGACAAAAGTAAAAGAGAAAATCTCTATGGAATTTAACTGATGAAAGGCCAAGAAACTGGTCAGTTACGCTTATTTGTTTTGCTTGAAACGCACTCTTGACTAGCACATTTTTTTTTTTAAATTCAGTTTTACAAGCTGAAATTGCAGGCTCGCGCCGCTTTAGCAATAGGACTTTCAATTAACTGACCGCGATAGAAATTATCGCGAACGCATTCGTGGTTAATCTGAGAACGAGATACCAGCGGCTGCCAGCACTGATTGTAATGTTAAGCACAGAAATATCCTAGTTATATACATATTGAATGCACGACGATTGACAAAGTGGCTAATCAATAATTTCCATACGTTCTTATCAGATGTACGAGGAAAACGGTAAAACAGCCGGAGAGTGATTTGTAGAACGTTTCTCTATTTTATACGTAATTATATAATAGCCGTGAGAATTAATTATATCTAAGAGTCACAATTTCCTCTGAGATCTTATCCATTTTCCTCGTAATTTCTGTTCTGCATTCGCGTATTCATTTGCGATCCAAATTTGCATGAAATTTGCGAGTCATATCGCGCGATCGCGACGCAAATTCGAGTTTACGCGCAGCGAAAATCTCTATAAGCGGAGCGTAAAACTTTGAGAGAAATACTGAAAATATTTCTAATTTTTTCTTACCATTCCGAAAGTAGTCCCATTCGTCCTTCGAGCCCATATTTGTGTCCGGCTTTTGGGAGTCTACAGGAAATTGAGATCCGCGAAATTGAGGTCCAAGTAAAATCTGCACCCGCTCGTCTTGACTGCTTGCGCGTCGACTCGCGTCGATCGGCCGCACGAGCACTCGCTTCCACTGGTCACCGATGCGTCGAGGAAGCGTCGGGATCGTCTGGACGACCACGTTAGAATCACGCAACGTTTTCGAAAATGACGAGAGGCCGACGCGATTCGCGGCCTCTACAATTTTTTGATTTCGCGAAACCCGCGGGTTTCGCTAAGCTTAAAAACACGAGAAGGAAACTGCGCGGTCACCGTCGCGCGCCGTTCCTCCTCTGTACTTTCCTCGCGCGATCGCCGAAATTCCCCCTCGTCTTTCTTCTTTTCCTCTACGATCGGGAAAGCGACCGGCAAGCTACGCGTCCTACTCCGACAGCAGCAATACCGGCCGGCGCATCGGCATCGCTTTATATCGCGCGCGGTCACGTGACGTGCGGACGAGCCAGCCGCGCATGCGCCGGTAAATATTTACACGTGCGCGCTCACCACGCGTGCACATCGCACGTGCATGTAGCGACGGTACGCCGACGGATCAATAATCGATAAATAATAACTGCGCTGTGTCTTATTTATGCGAATGAGATATATAATTTTTTTCTTAGACGATTCACATTCTGCTGTTTAATATTAAACAAATCTCTCTTCAATATATTGGTACAAGGAAGCCGTTTTCCGCGTCAAGTGGATCAATCATCTCTCAGAATATTTTAATTTTCCACATAGTTCTGGGAGATAGAATTTTGTGCCAAAGGATTTTTTTTACGCTAAAAATGTTCTAGTTGACGGGAAAAATATTAATATTCCGAAAAGATTTCGTTTCCCATTGTTTATTTAACAATAAACTTTTTAAGAAATTTTTTAATAAGGCTCAATAAATTTAAAACTAATAAGGAGGAACGAGCCAATAAATTCGTTAAAATCTTTAATTTATTCTAATATAAAGTAATTTAATTGTTTATATCTCAATCAGTTTTGCAGTAAAATAATATCCTTTAACACAAAATTCTATCTCCCAGAGCAGTATCTATATGTTAAATTTAAAAAATTTCCGAAAGATAACTGATCCGCTTCACGATACTATTTTCCCGAGTAATTCTGATTCGTTAATGTTATTACGTTAATTTTAATTTTATTCGATAAATAAGATAAATTATTTTTTGGTACTGTTATCTTTAATTAAAAACTTGTATCCCACAATGCTTTAATAAAATGCATGCGAATTTTTATGCGACGTTTTTTTTTTAATACATTTTTAACCGTTTTTATTGCGGGATCAAAATAAAACAGAGCGTTGTTATTTGTATCCATATTTGATACTGTTGTAGAAAACTAATGTTTTTAACTAATGTTCAACTAATGGAGTTGTAACGATAAAAGATTAGATTGAAAATTATTCTCTTGAAAGAAAGATGTTTACCTATCTCCTTTCGCGTTTGCGATGAGTAATCTAATCACTCAAGTGGCACACTCTCTTTATCACTCGTAGATAACATCGGTTAGAGAATATATTACGTCACGAAACGTGCTGCAAGATAGAACGTCATAATTACGTTTTTAGTGTGCCAATAAAGAGAGCTACATCTCCAATAAAAATTGATGACTGCTAAAAGATTTTATTATTGAACATTAATATGCTCAGTTACTTGAAAAACGTTTCTTTGGATGCAAATTAATTTTGCATCTAGGTTTTTCTATTTTACATAAATATGCCACGAAATGTTTCTCGATTGCATTCAACGGCAGCATTTTATCTTTTTGAGTCGATCAATCCTTGAAACGCAGTAAATTGCGACGATTTCCTTTCAACATAAGACATTGTTGTAAAACTCAATTTTAAATACACGTGAGAAGCATGTAACAAAATAATAAAACAACAGTTGAAAGATATTTAAATTTCACAAACGTTACAATATTTCTATAATTTTTTGTCAAAATTTAAAATATATCATACGTATTATATTTGATTATATAATTTATAATATACTAAATGTTATATTTCATTTTTTTATCATTATATGCATATATATATATATGTATATAAAGATATAGGACATTGTGATTTGTAATACGCGAAAAATAAGAATGTAAATTCTAGAACGATAATTGTTATTTATCTTTGAACAAATAAGATGTATACCTGCTTACTTTATACTCCATTACTTCCGACAGAATTCTCGTAAACCTCTTTAAGTTCCCTTATCGTTCTTCTGTTGCAAGATGCAATCTTGTCTAAAACAATTAATATGTACTTATTATTTCGTATGATGCAAGTCAGTATACGAAGAAATATAATAAGTATACTTGTAAACTATTCTACATGTCAACACGAAATACTAACGCGTGGGACGAATAAAGAACCGTATCGCAGTCTTGAAAATCTTATATAATCATGGAAATTCGAATTACATCACGTTTAATGTGCTTTTTTGCAATCTAATCTACGAGATACCGAGTCACTTTTACGCATGGATTGGTCTTTACGAAAGCTATAAAAAAACTATTTTTCAAGTGCTAAATTTAAATGTTATTCCATGTATAAAATGTATTATAAGTGTATTATATATATACATATAATTTATATATATACATATAGTTTGAATTTAATTTAATATTTTCTATGTGATAATCATATATATATATATTATAATACATGTATAATAATTATACAGAAATGTCAAGAATTACGTAAATAACAGAAGATTTGAATAAAGTTGAAAATTAATGTCAAAGTCATTAAATGCGATTGAGTAGCAAGATTAATTATTGTCGCGTGACTGTAATTGCCTGATCGGTTATTGTGGGATTCTCGGAGATGACATCTCCAATCACGACTCACTCACTCCTAAAGAGTGAGCGCAAAGACGAATCATGCAGTATCCTAAAATGGTTTTATTAACTCTTAACTTTACACGTGTTTCTTTGTCAGTATACTAGTCTCGGAGAGATATCTGTATATGTATATCATTAATTCGACATAATTTTTTTTTCCATTGATTATTATCGAGCGTACCATTAGATGGTCCCAAGATAATCGCACGCGATCCATCTCGGGGCGCAGGCTCGGTCTGATACTTTGTATCTCTTCGTGGATTTTGGTTGTTCCATTTCCTCTCCCTCGAGATATGTCACTTAGCGAAAAACTTAGAAGATAAATCTCGATGGTTTCGTTAAACCGTCAACGGAGAAACCCGTTTGTACGAAAAATGTTCCGACCCATCCGCGAATATATCAACGCAAATATTTTCTGATATCGAAGTTTTCGCAGCGCGAATAAAAATAATCTGAAAATTCCCGTCGATATGATATTTTTAGGTGTATATTATGTATATATATTGTACAATTACGCTATTTCATTTCGAGTGATGCTTTAAAATACCTTCGTGTATGATATTTCTCTTTCTCTTCAAATAAGAGAATTAAATTCGCATAAATTGCAGATCAGTATCTAAAGCATAATCCGAAACAGAATAACATAAATGCGTGTATACGTATATAGCTATGTATACAACACGTTTTCGTATAAGCGAGATAATTCTTTTCTTTGTAATGTAATGTAATATGGAACTTTTTCACGTCGTGCCCGTCCCACGTTAGCCCGATTTTCTTTCAGAAAGCGGCCGAAAGTCACAGTCGTAAACAGCAATCCCCTCTTTTATACACACGCAATTATAAAATACTATACTTTCGATCCATTCTCACACAGGCCAGAAAAGTCGCCGCAAGCAAGTATGCTATTTGTGAAGTTTTCCTTTCTTTAACTCTCCTAGAGGAAAGTTCATCCACATGTTGTCTCTATCTTATATAAATATCGTACACGCGCCCTATTTTTATACATTACCATCATTTTCACAGTAACACAAGTTGCAGAGCGCTTAGGGGATACGCAACGACCAGAGCGATGATATGATTAGAAGCGTGATATGGACTTGTGCTTGTTTACCGCAGATCACAAACGGATGCTCCTTCCGTTTGTGACGCATCGCAAACTCTTGATTTACCATATCCATTCAAATACCGCTACGTTACTTTTCCGCCGTTAGCCGCGCATATTATTACTTTGTGAGGATCTCGCCTGAAATAATAAATAGGACTCCAGCGAGTCCGAAGCGATTTTGATTTAGCAAAGATACGGACGTCGGTGCTTTAACGTCCTCTCCACGGGCGCAGATTTATATTTATTCTTCCAACGAGGATCGCGCACAAAGGAACATCACAATCCTAAAGATAATCCTACCTTGCGACAGCAAGTGGGATTGCGTTGCATTCAAGTCTTAGCGTAAAATTTAACACAGAAGATCTTTATTCGTACATTATAAAAATAATAAGAAAACATACTTACACTTATTGGTTCACGATATGAAAGCAATCGCGTACGGGCGACAATCGCAATCTCTATTATCTCTTTCATAAAATTCTGCGATAAACAAGACGATGAAGAGGGTATATCCGCGAAGGAAAGTCTTTGACACGCGACTGCGGCCGATGATCTTTCTCGAGCGGTTTTTCACAAGGCGGTCGAGACTATGCGGTCTCTACAAGCGATAGATAAGTTTGACCAGTTTTCATACATTCGCGAGGAAAAATGAAGAATCTTCGCGCGAGTCGCGCATCACTTCCCTTACCATGTACTTAAATCCTCTACGTTATACAAAGACACGAATTAGTCATAATATTATATCGTGATAGCTTGCACATACGAAACATCCTCGTTATTATCTTACATACGTATTAATCGTCAGCATTCACACCAATATATAGGCGCGTCCGTGAACTCGTCGCTCCGCACGTCGTCCTGACGATGAACGGCGTGTACAGCTCTTCGAAAATTCAGAACGCATATGAAATTTCCTTTTCTTTTTTTTTTTTTTACTCATTTCTCGTATTTCCTTTTCAAAAATATCAGGAAACTATCGAGGTATCAAAGAAACGATTGCGTACGTACCCGTACCATATCCCGCACTCTTTCGTCGCACCGAATAAAATGAGTACGTGCACGTATATGTGTGTGTATCGTGTGTGCATTTCGCAATACGGCAGTTAAAAAATTACAAAAATCATTGTAAAGAAATGCGCCCTAAAGAGTGCGAGTCACGTTTCTTAGTGTTTTTTTTTTTTTTTTTTTTATCCTTACTAGGGTTGCTTCGAAAGTTTCCGCAAAATCGCGCGGAAATGTTCTCGTGATAAATTCATTTTCTCTCTCGAAAAAAAAAAAAGTGTTATTAAAAAACAAAATAAAGTTAGCATATTAACAATTTTAATGTAACACGACGTCTAATGCCATCTTGCGGAAATTTTCAGAACAACCTACGTATTACTTTACCTCTTCCGCTCCTTTTTAAATATTAATTATTTTTTGGCTTGGTAACTATATAAAAATCTAAATTAAATAGTCCCGTCGCTGTGTAGCGCAACACGTTTTTTATTTTTATTTTCATCCTGAGCTAAGCCTTCGATGCCAACTCACTCGTACGCATTCGTGAACAATTCGCGGATCTGAGAAATAAAAAAATATTACGGCTGTTAAGTCATAAAAATTGCAAAGCGTCGGATTGTGCGTGAAACAAACAGTGGGTCTCCTTCGTAGCAAAAAGTAAATGCTAAACAACTTGATTGGTCTGGCAGTATTTAAATTGTCTAAATAACTGCAGACTGACGTCTATCGAACGGCAAATAGGTATTAATATACATATTTATATATATATATTTATATTTGTATATATTACCTATAATTAGTTTTTTTTATCTTAGATAAGTTATCTGCATGGCCTACTGTGCCAATGGAAGCATTTGCTGTCACTTTGCAATGGCGTTGCATGTATCATAATCGTTCCTTTAAATGTCTCAAAAAACGTTTCAATTCTCTGATATTTTCTCCTTAACTAAGCAGTCGCCAAGCAAGCTAGTTTAAGTGACACTTAATTCCGTTTCATTTATCTCGCCACGAATTATCCTAAATGGAGAGTTTAGAAAAGAAATTAGAATATATAATATTATATACATAAACAGGGTGCGTCAGCTAAATCCGAACAAAATAAAATTTAAAGTTTCTGTTATATGTGACTTTGGTAGTAGATGACTGTTGGTACACGGGCAAGTATGAAATGTATAGTATAATCTCAAAATGAGTTAATGAGATCAAGTGCAACCGAAGAGCGGCGATAATTGAAGCGCTTCGCGCCGGACGTTCGCCGACCGAAATTATTCGGATACCCGTGGTCGCCCGTTTACATCTTGGGGATGTCCCCATAATAATCAAGACAAAGCTTCCGGCTAATGTATACGTCCTTAGTGTCATCTCCAATGAAAGTGACATTATGTCGCCTTATTTTTCTTTTTTAAGGAAAAGTCATCACGAAGGAAGTTTACCTCCGGATTCTGAGGACTGTAGAGAAGCCATGGATGGAAACTACGGCCTCTGGAAGGCCGCACAGTTTTCGACAAGACGGCACACCAGCTCACAAGCCATTTAGTGCAAAATTAGTTTTCTGACAACGTAGACGTATTTTGGTCCAAGGAATTCTGACGTCTCAAAATAGTTTAGATTTAAACCCTCTAGATTATTTCGTTTGGAGCGCTATTGAAAGAGTGTCTAACAAGCACCCCAATCCTTCAAGCCGCTATTGAAGCAGCATTCATGAATTTAGATAAGAAGCTGTTAAAAAGAGCTTGTATCTTAGGCAAAGGATCGAGGCAGTGATTGCAGCAAATGGAAGTTATATTGAGTGATAGAACTCAGAAAGGATCCCTCGAGTGATGTACAAAAAAAATTGTTGTATATGTTCAAGTTTTTTCTGAATAAAATGACATTTTAATAAACTATTTGTTCGGATTTAGCTGACGCACCCTGTATATATCTCGAAACTTTCTCGCTTGGCAACACACTATGCATTTGTCGTTCTGGCAGTGATATACGTTGTAGGTGCGTAATATAATTATTTCGTTAAATCCGTCGTTCTTGATACCTGGAGACTCTCTGTATACAGTAATTGCGATAAATCCGTAGAACCGTATTAATTATACGTACGATTGTTATTCACAATCGAATACCCTTATTGCTTAATAAATGGCACTGATTATTGAAATATTTATGAGTATCGTTGCTGTCTCGAATCTACAAAGTCGAATAAAGTACGTTTATTTCCTATCGCTGTCTCGGTTCTACAACGATCTAAACTAAATTCGCGTATCAAGTTCGGAGCAGTGGATCCTTCCCTACAATTGAATTCTTTACGAAAGGCAACACGTGATTTGTATTCCCATACTCCCTAGAAAATCTTTCCTTTTTCTTTCGCGTGAAATATAGATGATTAAGAGAGTGTATGTCGATCTCGCGAATATCGACTAAGGAATATTTTTTTCTTTTTTTTTTTTTTCGTAAAATCGATGGTGAGATGTGCCGTTGTTGATACATATATAAAATAAGTAAAAACGCGCGTAAATTCGGAGAATGTTCTCGCGGAAGAGTCTTCCATTCACGCTTTGCAAAGCAGTATATTGTCTCATACCGGGTGAATGGAGAAGGGCTTTCGTTTAAACGTCGCTATAAACGTTCAGAGTCCCACGATCGTCATCGTCGCCAATTCGTGATTGCTTTTTATAATTAATTTGGTTTTGCTTGTGTATCGGTGAGTCTCCGAGCATTGCTAGCATATATTTTCGCGTAGGCGAGTGTACCGTATTTTGTTAGGGAGGCACGTAGGGAGGTGGTTTCCTGTACGTTGGAGTAGGTTTGGGACGATTTTGTCGATTGGTGTCACGGTTCGTGGCGAATGGCGGCGGTGGTTGGTACGGTTCCTCGGAGTTCTCCTTAGGCAACATCGGCACATCAGCGCCGTCCTCGGTTTTCTGATACTCGGGCGGTGGAAGAGGTGGTTTTTCTTCCTTCAGAATTACGGGTGACTTATTGCCTAAAATCACGCAAAGTGTCAGTGAGAGACAGATATATATATATATATATTGTCAAATTTTCCACTAATTTATTGTTAAATAATCGTTACCAGGATCAGGTTTCTCTTCCAGCTCGTCCTGGAAAATCACGGGAATTCCTTTGTTCCGGAAACTCTGCCGCTCGTCATCTTGTTCACTGACGCTCATCTTTCCACTACGTCTTCGCTTGTGTAGCACGCATGCGATTATTCCCGCCAGAATAAGCATAGCGGCGATAATGATCGCTGGCAGGACAAAGGTGAGAAGATAATCATCATGGAACGCGCCAACGGATGTCGAATCGTCCACTGGTGGCACGTGGCTATCCGGCGAGTGAACACCCGTTAATTCACCAAGGCAGATTCCCATGGGAATCACCGTGATCTGCTTCACCGGGAATTTCAAACCCATCACGTCCAACACCTCGTCTGTTACGGAGCGTCGATCGTTATCGCTCTTCACAAGCACGGATCGCAGCCTGTTGACTTCGTCGTGGGCACAATACGACGTAGGTAGAGTTCTGTTGTGCCATGTGATGACGGTACTGCCGTTTGAGATGTTGTGCAGCAAGATAGCGTTCGTGTCTCTGTCCCCGTAGAGATCACGCAGTTTCTCGATAAAATTACGCTTCTGAAGTGCAGAATGCGCAAAAGAATCGTAAGAAATATCTAGCGTCATCGAGAATTCTACCGTGTGTGCCATGGGAGGTGCTGAATGAACGACAACGACCAATCCATCTGTGGCACTCGCACCTAGGAAATATCAATTGTTAATTATTCAATCGTTATAAATGTTTTCAATTTTATAAAATAGAATATATATCCCCTTTTACCTTCTTTATCGACGACAACTAACTGATATTCTTTACGGCCAATGTCGGTAATCATTGGCACGCCGTAAAATTCTTGATTCTTGCTGTCAAACTGCAGCCACTCGTAAGATGGAATAGGTCTTCGATCGATAGTTAAAAGTGACATCTTCATATTTCGTGACGATCCATCCTCAGCATCAAAGAATGTATCCTATAAAAAATATAGACAATTATCCACATTGTTGGCATTGATAAAAATTAATGAAACACATACTTCTGGCACTTTAAACACGAGTAATTGGCCAACTGTCGCATTAACATGATCAACTTGATTCCTCGGTACCGGCGGGAAATTCACTTTCGGCTCTTCGGTAGAGACTTTTGGTATCTCGGGACGATTCATATCTTCGCATTGTCCAATACCTTGAAACACGACACGCTTTACCCTGATTTCTGGAGCAAGAACTGCTTTTAGAGAAGCTGATGGATCTCCATCACTGTCGATGAGTACCTATAATAACACATACATACCATTTTGTTTAAATCTGTGTAATTTATTCTAAAAGAAAGAGATGATAGCAATTGTGCGTGCTTACGCGCAATAATCTGTTTATATGTTCTCTCGGACACTCGCTACTTCTTGGAAGACTATCATTAGTCCATATGAAAATGGCTTGTTCACGATCAGTATTGATATCGATGGAACGAACTGTGATATGCTGGGTGTCTCTGTCTCCATAAAGTTCAGCCAAGCTTCGGATTACCTATAATCGAAAGACGATTAAAACAAAAATAGTTATTACAATAGAATTTAGAAGATACAGTAGGATCAAGTTGTAGCCATTTATACGTATTATATGTATATGATATATACACACCTCGAGTTCCCAATCGACATCTGTTGGAAATTCGATTCGTTTATCGATTTTCAAGTAAATGCTAAATTCGTGATTGACGCTACGACTCAGCTTATGTTGTTGAACATGAATATCGAGACTGTCAGTAACGTTGGCACCTTCTCTATCCATAGCAACCAGTTCATAATTCCAGGTAGATATGTCATTCTCGAGAGGTCTGTGGATAGAGAATTTGTAGAATAAAACATGTTCTGCTTTGTCTAAGAAATAAATATAAGAAACGTTGTATAAACTTACAATCCATAAACTTCCTGAGTATGATGATTGAATTGAAGCCAGTGTGTTGTTTTGAGTGGCACACCTTGCCAGTACAAACTCAACTTTAGGCTCCTCGTGTTACCATCTTCCAAATCGGTGAAGGTGTCGGCCGGAATGACATAACTCAATGGTTTACCGGCAGTCACTGGTATTTTCTTTAATCTCCTATCGCGTCTCGGTGGGAAGTTGGCTTGACCATACTCGATACTCTCCGTAGTAATTCGAGCTGTTGTCGTTGTTGTGGTGGTTGTAGGTGCCGCGGTAGTTGTAGTTGTCGTAGTCGTGCTTGTGGTGCTTATGGTCGTGCTAGTAGTGGACGGTGTTGTGCTCGATATCGTTGTGCGAAGATCCGATGTTGATGGCATCGTAGTTGTCTCATTCGTTACGATTACAGGTATAATAGTAGAAGCGCTAACATTCGTTATGACTGCAGGTGAAGGAGTGGTGGTAGTGGTTTTAACGTCCGTGACGATGAATGTTGGTACAGTAGTTGGTTCTTTCATGGAAGTCGTAGTTTGTTCCGACTAGGCGAGAAAAGATTGCATATCAAAATGCATGACGAATTACTGCGTTGAGAAGAGTGGAGTAGTAATTATATCGATGTGAGAAATTTGCATAATAACGGTAGAATATTTAAGCTGCTATTAACCCGCCATTGATAATAGACGATATATTAAGACGATAACAATTTGTCTCAGCGAAGCGACAAACTGGCACGCTACAGCGCGAGGAAGTTGGTGTGTATAGCGGCGTGAACTATTATACAAATGAGAGAAGCGTTAAAGCACGTAAGCATTACCTCTTCCGTCGTAACATTAGTAATACCGACGATCTCCGTCTCGATTTTGTCGAAGACACTAGTCTGGGTGGCCGATGTGCTAAAAGGCGGCAAAGTGGTTGCAGGAGGAGGAGTCGTAGTAATGTCCGAAGGAATAGTTGGTAAAACGGTAACGGGTTCGGCGGGTTCCACGGGTTTCGTTTTCTCCGTCGACGATTCTTCATCCGTAGTCTCTGATCGCGGAGATTCTATCGATGGAGCTACAGCGGTGGAGATACTAGCTGTTGCTGTTATATCAGCCGATGTGATGGTCGTTGTAGTGCTACTAGTAGAGGTTACGGTCGTTGGCGTGGCTTGAGTGGTAGTTGTCGTCGTAGTGGTGGAGGTAGTTGTAGTTGTTGATGGTGATGATGTAGTAAGTTCAGTGGTTCTTGTCTGCGAAATCGTTAGTAGATGCGATGTATGGCACGAAATACGAGTGGTTAGTTACGTTTGAAGGGACCAACAAGTTGTACAAGTAGAGACCAAGTATCAGGCTTTCGTCTGCGGATAGATTTTCGCGACGCAATCTGTACAGCACACTTTTGAACGCACGTATGCACGGACACGGAGTATACAGTTTGCGAAAACGAAATAGAGGCCAGCGTTAAAATACACAATACCCAGTAGCTATTCTAAACTTTTAAAGCGCATCGGTTTCCCCGCAAGCGGTATGGCAAATGGCGAATGAGGAGTGCAAAAATCTTAATGTCGAACCGGAGTAGAGTCATGGTATCTCGAATATAAACGTTCATCAAAGGAAATCAATCGTGTTTGATTCCACAAGACACTTACTGTAGTTGTAGTTTTATTTTCCAATTCACTTTGACTCATTCTCGGTATTATCTCTTGCCCATCGATGTCTTCGCCCTGAAAGGAATAACGTATATGGATTAAAAATATTCAATCATTGCGTTTATTTCTGCACATCTCATATTTATTTCAATATTCATTAAAAACAATATGATTGTGGCAAGTCACTCTTACTATAGCAACTCACCTTCCAACCGATCGTCTCCTCGCCGTGATGATGCCGGTGCGGATGTTTCGAGTCTGGTACGTAAGTCGGCGATACGCCGAGGTTATCATCGTTATCATCTTCCTCGTTCTCCTCGTCATAATCACCATCGTAGTCGTCATCGTAACCGCCATAATCGTCCGAATCGCCGTAATCGCCGGAACCAGTTTCTCGTCTGTTTCTCAGGAAGGAGTTCAAGTCCGTTCTGACACGCCACGACAGCACAGGAAGCTGCAGAACTTCTGCTAGAGTACCGTCCTTCGCCTGCTCACGTAATTGTTTCACCAACTCTGTTTGATGTTTCCATAAGTGACCGTCGCAGCCAACCTACGAACGCACATAGATGTAACCGATTTGTCTCTTAATCGGTGAGATTTCAAAAAATGAGATATTGTAAAAAATAACAACAACAAATTGTGTAAAATATGTCGTAGTTAAATATCGTTGCACATATCAAATAACCGTTAAAAAATTAATTTCGAATCTCACCTGCCATTGAATGGTAGTTAAATGACTCTCTTTGTTTTTGTGATGCCTAACATTCCCGGGTCCGGTAAAAATGACGGAGGAATCCAGTGCAGTGACATCCTTGATACTTTGGGAATGCATCGAGAATGCGCTCTAAAGAACGTAAAAATGAAAATCTTATAGATTCTTAAGGAAAACAAAAGACTTTCAATAAAACAACCAATTGAATAATTTTTGTAATCACTTTTTAAAAAATAATAAATATGATTTTTCTCAATCTCTCTAAAGTACAGATTATGTCTCGAAGGAACGCAAGGAGAATTTAACGATTAATTTCAAATGGTAGAATCAATACCGTGTGCATTCCCAGAAATCCGGCGAGATTTTCGATGGCATTCACCCTAATGGTAGGCGACAGTTGGTCCATCCGCGCATCCAGCAGAATTGTGAGGATCGTCTGGTCCTCTCCGTCGTCGCAATGCGTCTGCAATTAGGATCGCACTATTTCACATCAGTCGCCAACTTTCCGCCAACTTTCCGCCAACTTTCCACCAACTTACGAATACCAACATGCGAAATTTCAAAAAGATCGAGGTCGCCTTGCAATCGCGGTATGTGTAACTGCACGAGAGAGGACGCGTTATGCACGTAGCGACATCAATTGGCGTCAATCAGTTAAAGTCCGCGACGAGTAATGTCTTTACGACATTTAAACGCAACGATGCGATTGCAATGGGCGACCGCGCCGCTCTGACGGATTTATATCACGCATGGCTTGGGATTCCTCTATAAATTCATCAAACACAAATTTTATCGTTCGCGACTAAATTACGAGTTGAAAAATATTATACATATATATCATCCGGAGAAGTAGATATTTTTTCAGTTTTTCAAACGTTATTTTATTTTGCTCTTTATCAAGGTCTGCACGCAGTAACGCTTTTCGCTGACAGATTAAACGTACCCATGGAACGCGTTCACCAAAAGTTCACCCTTTTGTATACGCCTTTTTATCTTTAAGTTCTATTAATCATTAGTAAATGGAAGGCACGTACCTACAGCGGGGACCTGTTGTTCGACTTGGATAAGAAACTTGAAACGTTGCCAACGATACGTTTTCGCAGCTAACGATCCTCTCGCTGGTTCGTTGTTCGCATTCTCGTTACGCTGAGTTAACGTTTATCGACATAACTCACCTTGCCGTCCTTATGCTTGAGTTCCTCTAGCTTCTCAGGTATAACTTGCACGACGAATTGATCCTTGGCGGTGTCATGGTGCTTGCCGACAGCCGTGACGCTCAGGTGATAATTGCCCATGTCCTTCTTTGACGGCACGCCCAAGAGAGTGAAGACGGCGTCGTCCCAGTGCATCCATTGCGGTAAACGATCGCGATCTGCGGTCTCGTGAACCTAATGCGTTTTTAGCGTGTGAAAACCATATTCCCCCGCTGCTGTTCCTCTCGAGAGGATAATTATTCGTGGCAGTCTTTGCGTCGAGGTATCATGCAAACTTTTGAATAGTCTTCGCACGAATGGAAAGAGCGTGTCCCGTTGCCCGAATAATTTCGAGGACAAAGGGAAGACTAGGGCCATTCAACCTAAGAAGGATTTCCGGCGATGAGATTCGCCAAGGAGACGGCGGGGAGTAAATTGAATCGCAAATATGGATTCAACGAGAGATGTCGAGTCGGCAGAGAGGGAAGAAAATGACAGATGTGAGGACAAGCAAATCAATAGCATTCAAGCAGCGGCGGGCATCGTTGACGGCGCTATGAGGCTCGACAAATACGAAAGAAGGACGTTCTCAAGTAGTCTAAATCGTAGTTTTTATCTCGGACGAACAATGAATACAAATACTTGAGATTTTTTCTTCCTCCTCGTACAAAAAGATCTTTCTATGAGACACAGACGCGTTCGTGTGTAATTCGCTAACACAATTTATTAGCGCTATACGTATCTAGTGAAAGAATGCCGTATTCTCTAGTTAAAGGTGATTCTTTTTTTAGGCTCGGGTTTTAATTTTCTGATTAATTTGCGGTTAAACTTCATAATAATGTAAAAATTGCATTCTTCTATCATTGAACTAATGATTTGATGAGTAATATTTAAAGATACTACTGCAAAACCGTTAGTTTAGCAATTAATTGTAGGTATAGAAAAATACAATTATTATATTATCAAGTTAAGTCACAAGTTAACTAGAAAATCAAAAATCAAGCCTTATATAAAGTTTCAGAATTGATACGAGAATCTTTGCGGAAGCCCACTTTGGAGATTTAATTTAATTTAAAATTCGAGTAACGTAGGACGGATATTTTTCTCATCAGGGACTCGTAGTAGTGCAGAAGTCGAGTAGAGAGATGGTCTTCCGGTCACGTTCGCGGTCGAAGAATAAGTCGCGTCGCCGAACTTACCTCATAAAAATCCACGCTTCCCGAAAAAGCTTGCCGCGGTATTTTCATCCTGAAGATGTGGCCGACCGGGACGACGGAGTCCGGCACGCCCCATGCCCTTTCGACCCGAGAGCCGTGCCTCCTACCATCACGAGATCCGTGCTCGTAACGATCGGATCGGCCGTGAGACGAATGATGATTTATCAGGACGGAGCCAACGGGTACGTTGTCATTGTCGTTGTCTTCACCGACATCGTCAAAAACCAGGTCGTCCTCTTGCAGACTGAGGCCCAATGAGAGAGGCAGCAGGAGTAGGACGCACGCGAGGATGTAAGGATGCTTCTTCATGTTTCGGGGGAGTTCTCAGTCACTGATACCATACCATGCTGCTACGCCTGCAATCAGTCAAATCACGTCCATTCAGTCACGACATCGAGAACGATGTCAGTGTCGTAATAATTAACGCGCGCGGTTAATTCCGATGTATAATCCCGATTGCTAAAACGGGGACACACTCTGGTGAAACGAGATCATCACGAATTGAGCCTCCTCAAAATGTCACAAGATCGAACACACACTTTTCCATATTATTCATCTCAAATTGAGATAAACGACCGTCTCTCTTCGCCACATTGTTTGACGCATTAAAAAACTCTCTTTCATGTAAAATAATCAACGCATTCTAACAATATAATGAGTTACCTGCACTGAGAAAAAGACTTGAGTGAATATAATATTTATTCCACTAAAATAAATTTTTATTTAAATTAAAGGCGAAATCAAAATTTTATTCTTAGCAAATAAACAATCTATTTTACTTTTTTACAGTTAATTAGAAGAGTGAGATGCACTTTACAGAAATATTCCGTCAACATGCATTTTTTTATACCCAATAAATATTAAAGTCACAAGTAACATCTGCTTTTGAATTTTTCAACTATGACTAACAATATTTTTTACCGAAAATTATAATTCTTTGTCTGAAGACAAATGTAATGTTTGAAAGATCGCGATGACGTATGAAATGAAATATAATCAAATGCGATGCAATTGAATAGAATAAAGGCGTGTTGTACCGATCGATGAACGCCGATAACCAGACGCCAGCTGATAATTATGCTTGGATACATCTGTTTTAGGTTCGGCTCGAGACTAATGGAACATTTTCGTAATCGGGAGAGCAAGCGCATGCATCCAATGGTGTCCAATGATAGCCAATAAACGCCTCACCATTATCTTTTTGTTTCCCTTTACCGCTCGTACCGTCGAGCTACCGTTTCATTAATCGGCGCGACCGAACAATGAGTAAGCTGACAGGTTAAGCCGTTGGATTCTCTCTCGCCGGTGAACCGGTGAACCGTCGATAAAACCGAGAGATTCAGTTTTATCAAAACGCGACTCGTATCTCTTGCACACATATTTCGATCGCAGACGATCGATACGTTACTATTTCGGTAACATCTGCTGAAATTGTCCGGGAAGGCTGAATAATTCGGAATAAATGGAATAGTTGAAATAATGCTTCGGACGATTTTTTTTCCTGATCGGCTTTATCGTCGCGTGACAAATCGAGCAAATTAATCGAAACGAGGACACACTAGTCAGTTTATATAGAGAACTCATCGCTATAGGCCAGTTTAATCGCGCGGAAGTTGTGCATGTCGTGTGCGACATTTATCGAACTCTTCGATCGGCCGTGACAACGATAAGGAAAATTCCGATTAAGCGCTTCGAGGTTGCGGTAGAAATCAGATCGCAAATCATATTTATAGTCACCAATAATAGAAATGAAACTTTAATAGGAAAGACACGATGTCTTAGAACTGCAGAGAGTGCAGAAAGAAACGACCGCGATTGTTCGCGCGTCGCTTTCAAGGACCGAGAACTGCGCGCGGTCTCTGTCTGTCAGTTATGTAGATATATATAAGAGTTTGGATCGCGCATTAATCGCGCTGATGAAAACGAGGGCAACGCGAAACTCTCGCCGGAACGACTGCGAGAAGACGGTCAACGGACCGCGAAGGTGGGTGTAGACAATTGAGTTTATGCCCGCATTTACGTGCGTTCGCACGGGGCGAGATATATAGCGCAGTGAGCTCATTACTCCTCACTACACCGCGATCCGACACAGCTGCCTTAATAAAAGTATATAGTGGAAAAGGCTATAGCGATGCACGCAAAGACAGTTCCTTCATGATTTTATAATAATTCTCTTCAAGAGTCTATTACGCCCAGAACTATATGGACACAGAACTATAAGCGGCTATGAGTCGCTCGTTTTACGTGCGGCATTGTCGACAAGTTACTTATTTAACGAGCCGACTTCCCTCGCATCGCGTGACACAAATATTGAATCCTGATATCACACCGACGAGCCGTGATTTTTACAGGATGGGCACACACGGTTGGTGCATGCTGACCGATCGTAGGTAGATGAGCGTGTCAAACGATTTAAAAGTCCGCGCGGAAAATGAACGCGGAAGAGAAGAGCGTTTAATCACAATAGGGATTGCAAAACGATCGCTCTTGTATGCGTCCACCCTCGCGTCGCGAATCCCCACGCCGGACTTAATACGATTTCACGGTCGCGATACCACGGTGCAACACGAGAGAACGAATATTTATCAAAGCTTAACGATCGAATATCGCGATTGTTCGAACGCGAGAGGAGCGTTGTTTGATTGTCCGGCGAACGCGATGTGATTTTCCTGCTCTGATCCCTCTGGAGGATTCCGGGAATACGATATTTCGATAAAATATATGTTCGATAATAATATATGTGTACTCCGATCGCGTTATGTGCACGTGAAAAATTGTATGTTGCTTGAAAAAAGGATAAAGAAGTATTCAAAGGATATCTTTTCATGAAAACGTTATTTATGTTGAAATATAAAAAAAATCAATACAGAAATACTGAAAATTATATTCTGTTTTAATTATATACACTTAAACTGGTTGCTGGAATGCCAAAACTTTTAGTATTACTCATCACACTTGAGATTCCTGTGTGCTAGTAAAATCAATGACTGCAGGACAAGCAGCTTTGCAATTTAATTTAATATAATTAGTCTTCCTCATTGTATGTGGATCTGAATGTAATGTCATGTTAAAGAAATTCACCATTTACAGTTGCAAAGCTGATGTTTCTGTTGAACGCAGCTCTACATATCTAACCGTTTGACGCGTAACATTTTTCACACTCTCTGATATATTCGCCGACACGTACCCTTTGACTCGCATCCGTATAATTATTCCTCCATTGAACGCGCGAGAGATTTTGCCGCGTGCTCGAGACCTTGTCTCGAGTCTTCCTGTACGGTATGCGAGGCGTAAATGCATCGCTGCAGGTGCAACGTGCCGTCGCGTCGCCGCGAGACCCGCGTGCGATGAATACAGAGGAACAGCGAGACCAGGGCCGATATAGACGCCGGGGAGTCGAACGGAAGTGCATAAGGAGAACGTGGAAATCGATAGCTCCGTAATCCCAAGAAACGACGCGCGGCGCGGAGTACGGCGTATATTCGGCGTCGCGGCTCATTGAGCACCGACCTAACACGTGTACCACGATTTGTTCGGAACTAGTTTACCACAAATCCCATGACACGAGCGGCACTAAGATCCCCACCACGATACTTCTCTCCTGTCGTACAAAGGCGTCCATATTAATAACAGAAAGCACTACGTTAAATCCATTCATACAGTACCGCCGCGTTGAGTTCATTGATAAAATCAAAGCACGCATTTTATTTCTTTTCTCGAAAGCCGCTTACATAGGTCTCTCTCTCTCTCTCTCTCGAGTCAGTGACCTTAAACGGATTAATCGATGCTGTCCCACGCGAGCGTATCGCCGACGATATCCAGAGACGCGATACGAATTCCGCTCGTCGTGAACGGGAAGAGGAGCGCCTTCCTATAAAGATTGAGAAGCGGTGAGAAGTATGAACAGAGAGGAACATTCTCATTTAATAATACTACAATAATATTATTTATCACGCGAGCGACTTTGCTGAATCCTGGCGCCAACATGCAAGAATAAACAGTTGACTTTATGCTGATAGTTATTTGTGAAAGTTTAAACATCGTCGTCAGGGGTCTGCATGGAGAATGGAATTTTTAAAAGACGTCGGAGCGTCGTATGGATATCATCCGGTTCCCTCGCAATCTAAATTTAAAGCGACAACGCGACGTCGCGCGCGTAGAATTTTCTTTCTCGCGCCAGATTCTTCCGTATCTTCGGACAAATAAAGATACACACGAAAAAAGGTAGTAAGGTGTAAGCAATAGAAAATCCAAAATGTCTATTTGCTTACTTTTACTTCAGTTTCTTTGTACGCCATATATGCTGAAAAAAAAAATTTATTAAATCTTGACAAATATTTCTTTGAATGGTACTAAGTAAGCATCTACTTGCAGTAAATTACTCAATAAAAATAATAGTTAAATTAATGATCTTTGTATCAAATGAATATAGGTTTACACTTAATATACTGTTTTAATGTAGTTTTTAATCAAAGGAAAGAGTCTAAAAGTAGCGCATGACGTAGAATCTGACGTGTATAGATAGATTCAGTTTCGGATCTTCAAAAACGACTCCAAATATTAGAAAAAAAAATGACGAGCACAGTAATCGCCGTGCACAACGTATAATAGTATGCAAGAGCGCATTGATACGCTCGGGACGACTCTAATTATAGATATCGTATCACTGGTGCATTTATCCCCGTTAGCAACGCTCTGTTGCGTAACGCGTAACATCGTTATGCACGTGATTCACGCTCACGGACAAGTCAACCGCGGCCAATAATATCAATCGTCGTCGCCATCATATCGAATGTATTTTTCCCTGCCGAGAAACTCCCGCCGCAAAATGATGACAACTTTGACCGGAAGAGTGTCATGGCTTTCTAATGAGTTTCGGCCCGTCTCGAGTATTGTCGCGATAACCGCTTTTCGTGGGCTCGTCTACGCACAGAGGCCAACGTTTACACAACCTTTATTCTTCCAGATGCTGTTGCGCCAGTCTTGGAAATACAAAGACATTACCCTCTTTTTACTCAATGTTAAAAACAACATCCCGTTTTAGCGTTAATCATGTGATAAGCTTCCTACACGGAGAAAATGTAATATAGAATTCTAGTAAATTTTATAGAATTGGCGAGTTTATATATGTAGATAAAAGCGCCCACTTATTTAAAATATAGGGTGCGAGTTTTTAAATTCATCGATTGATCAATCGCATTGTGCGCAGATGTAATTTTGTTCTGTAAAAGCTACAGTTTGCGCATAATGCGATTAATCGATAATTTAAAAAATTTGCCCGTATTTTTCTGGTAAATATAAGCGAATAAGTTTAGCAGATTTAGCTATACTGATGTAAAGTATTTTCTATAAATTA